CTGAAAGGTGGGGAAATCATGTAAATCTATCACTCATTAACTTGGTGTTTTAAAAAATGCCCCCTCACTCGAACATAGGTCCATCCCCAATACAAAATGATGAAGATGCCACAAAGGAGGAAACGTAGCTGGTGGTGGTGTTTGAAAAAGCTAATCATAGCCAAAAAAAAAAAAAAAATGCCCATGTTGGTCAAGGTTCATCTTAACGATATATGTCCATCATATTTAACATCAACATTGCATTAATTTTAAAAGTATAAATACAATAATATTTTAAAAAAATTTAAGATACCAGACACTCCTTGTAAAAAAGCTTCAGGACATTTTTGCCTTTTAACTCTAAAAAATTTATTTATAAAAAAATTAGTTTAAATATATATATATATATATATATATTTAAGGGAGAATAAGGACAACATAAGGAATTTAACTTCATAAAAGAACTAACGCATTCTGAAATTTATTTGTAGGATTTCTAAATAGAACTGAAAATAATGTTGGAAGAGAAATCACTTAATTACCCCTAGTTTCAAAAGAAAAACAGCATTTTCAAACAGACCATATCCCTTGACAAAACTGTTACAACCTCACTTTTAAAAATTTCTTTACGCCGGAAGCAATATGATTTAGGCAAAAAGAAAATTAAAGTCCATAAATTAAAATTTACAAATTAATCAAAGGATTGCTCATTTGGTATGTCTACAATTTTTGCTGAACTTTGATAAATCATAACTAAATCTATAAAATTGGGATGAAGATGCTTTAAAATTCTCTTGAAAGATCTTGAAGTAATTTACACAACAAATATATTTCTATCCTTTACTTGCACCAAACGATACATTTTATTGTTTTTCCAAAACTTCTCTGTTTCTTGGATAGAATCTGTGCCATAATTTTAAAAATTTATAGCCCATAGTATGCACATCCAAACGACTAGATTTAGGACCTGTTGGAAAGCTCTATGTGTCTAGTTTTCTCATAAAATTCTCATGGGCAATGGAAATTGTTTGCTTTATATTATACAATGAAACAGTAACATTGCTGTGAAAAAAGCCTAATCTAGACAGTCTTGAATATGCATAATGATATTATGGCTTCAAGACTATATTATGACTCCAGAATAGTCACTATGCATCTCAATACACCAAGTATACATTCCAAGGTCACATCATGAATTTACATAGTTCATAAAATTACTTATACATTTTTCAGTCTTTTAGAAAAGTAACGCCATAGGAAAATCATCTCTTTATTCATTTACCTTTGCTTCTTGCTCTAGCTCTTCCTTTGAAGGCTTATAACATAACATGGTTAGTCATTGAAGGTAAGATTTGGGAGAATCTCTGTAGCAAACAATACCATTCAATTATACATGACAAAAGTTTGATACATGACATGCTTGCATTACATAACTTCTTAATTAACATAATGACATATTTACATGCCCAATGTTTCATACATCATACATGGACCATGGAACACTTAAAAATAGAACTTCAAACACTCATTCATGATTCATATAATCAAGCAAATAAAACATACATATAATCACATTAGTATAAATACCAAGCATGCAATGAAGGATAAATTGACTATCTTTTAGCTTTACTATTTCTTCTTTAATAACTTGATCCCCCACAACAAAAGCTCCAATTCCTTTTTCATGCCACTCATTGGCCCTAAATATATGCCATAGAATATTTATTATAATTGTTAGAGATCATAATCAAATTGTCAACATATGACAACTTTCTATTTGTTTAATTCTTACTTTTTTTATCTTAGCTTTTCACATGAACTCAATTTTTTTAATGAGGAATTCATTTTTAAACTCAAATATTGTGTTCAAATCTTTCCCTTGAATCAGCCTTGGGCAAAATTATGGGTAATTGAGACCCTAGATTGTGCTTGCTACCAAGATATTTCATGCTTCATACTTTAAATGGATCAAGGCTACGTTTTATATCATATTTTATGAACTTAAACTTCATTAAATTCATAGTTTTATCTTGAGGAAAATGGAATAGCACCTCCTTAATTTCAAGCTTTCCAATTTTCACACAACTTGCTATAAACTCTTATTCAATCATGCCTAAACCTCTTTTAACATCACTACCATGGTCCTAGTGTCATCAAAATCTTAAGATTTCCTCATTACAAAAGTAGGGTAGCAACACAGAAAATGAGACTAAAAAGTGGTTGATTGGGTTAATTAAAATTTTTGACAAAATTATATGCAGATAAGAGATAAGAGTTAGAAGTAATATCACCAAGATTTGGAGAGAATGAATAGAAGGAGTTTATCTTGGTTTGGCCAACATCTTGCCTACGTCTAGTCTCCAACTCTTATCATTTGAGATTTTCAACTATATACTTCAAGATTGATCTAGGCTCTTGAAAGCCTTAGTACAAATCATATTTCAAGTCTAAATCACTCTCCCTTACAAATATAAGTTAACCACCCACTTAAGTTCCCTAAATTTAAGTCTCTGTTTTTAGGTATGAAAATTGGGATAAAAAGAGTATCACAAGTGATCAACTACAGTAAATCTCATATAGAGAGTGGATATATATCAAATGAAGTTCATAATAAACGAATACAATAGAGAGTAGATGATAAATTAAATGCTTAGGCTTGTAAGTTGTAAGCCTTTGGCTTTGTCTTCATAAATAAGTCTATTTATAATGGTTTGGCATGAACTATTTGTTAGGCTCGATAATTTTCCCGTTGCATCCTAATCTTCATTGTTTTTCTTTATTTGATGTTAATCAATGCTTAGTCTCGAGTTGCACAAAAAAGATGGAGGAAATAAGTTTTTTTGGCTAGGTTATGTGTTGAAGACTAAAACAGGTAAAAAGCAAAATGCGCATTTAATGTTATGACATTATTACCATTGAGGTAATTTTGAAAGTTATGGAAAGTTTCGAAATTCATAAGAAAGTATTGGGTAATTTTTGAAACAGGGAGAACTTTCAAAAGAAACATACTTTTCGTGATTTTAAATAACAAAATAAATAAATAACGGCTAAAGAAATCATGAGTTAAAAGGATGAAGAATTGAACCCAGGACTGAGAATAAAAACAGAGTTGTTAAAATGAGTGGGTTTAGTATTAACTAATATAAATTTCCCAAAGATTCTCTAGAGATAACACGAGCTCAGATGTTGGCATCGCAAAGATAATTTCGAAAATCATAGATACAATCAAAACTCAAGAGAGTTTAGGAAATTGAAAGCTATGAGAGAAATTTCGAAGACTAGCTCTCTTTTGAAAGAATTCAAAGTTGAGCAGAGAATTTTGAAATTTGGTGAGACTATCAAAATTCAAAATACTGAAGGAAAATGAAAGTGAATGAAGAATATCGAAGCAGATTAAGACTATCGAATTTTGAAAGGCCTAAGGTTTAGGAAATTTTGAAATAGAGAGCGATATTTGAAACTCTGGCACACTTTAGAGACAGGGAAAACTTTTGAAATTTAAGAGAGAATTTTGAAATACTTGGGCAGTATCAAAATTCAGGAAAATCTTTGAAAATATATATCAGTCACTTGACGGCATGCATATACTAGAGGCTCCGAAACTCAAAGTTTGATTCAAAAAATAAGATAACTACATTAAGGCCAAGTTTTGAAATCATATACTTAAATTTTGAAATCAAAACAAAAATCAAAGAACACAATAAAATGAATAAATGCACTGATATAATATATATATATATATATATATAGATATAGATATAAACAGCCACAGGTTTAAATATAGGAAAAAAATAATAACAGGAGCTCAAAAACAACAAAAGCTCAATGACCCAAAGGCACTATATTAGCTCTTAGCAGGCTCATCTCGTGCATCTTGTTCCTTCTCCCCATTTTTTGTCATCAGTAGGGAGCTGGGGCATTGGAGAAAGATTGGAGGTTGAAGAGGACAAGGATTTTGTTTGGCTTCAGTTTAAAAGAGATGCAAAGCTAGGGATTGGTTGGTTAAGGTCTGATATGAAGCTCACAAGGTTACAAACATGGTTCAGAACAGCAAGAGGCTGAATGATTAGAGAGGTAAAGACTTGAGCATCAGCAATGTGAACATCAGAGGCTCGATCTACAGCAACGACCTCATCTTTTTCCTCTCATATATATGAAACCTTTCCCAGAACCCCCCCCCCCCCCCAAAAAAAAAAAAATGTTTCAAGTCCTCTGGCATCATTAACCGTAACTCCCACACCCCCCCCCCCAAAAAAAAAAAAAGAAACCATCTGTAGCTCCTCAGACTTTGAATTTTTCCCCCATCATCAGCAGCAAAACCACCTTCAGCCAAACCATGATCTTATGCATCCATTTCAGCCACCAATTCTTCTGCTTGAAAGCTTAATACTAAAGAGTTTTCAGATGCCAAACACCTTTCCCACTCCTAACCACGAAAATATCCCCATACTCATTTTCTCCACAACTAAGTTGGGTTGAGGCACAACTTGAAAAGCTTTCACTTCAATCTGAATCTTCTTAGTAATAGTGTTGTGAAATAGGCAAATAACATGTCATCACATTCTCCTGAGATACTGTTTAGCACCATGGATGGTGTCTTATAAGAAAGTTTGTTTTTTTTTTTTAATACATAAAATTTCAGTGAGTTGGATTAGAAACTCACCTGGACTAAGATATGCTTTCAAAATACTTACAAAAGTACTTCCAGATTATTCACCACCAAAATTGAGACATAGGCAATAAGATTCAATTTCACAATTTTATATGGACCAAATCATTACCAACTGGACCAGCCTTTGTTGGTAAGAAAACTCCCTATTTTTACTCCATGCAAAATAAACCTCCCACAATTGTCATTTTCTTTTTCTGTTTGGGACAATTGCGGCTTTTTATCCTTCATAGAGGACTTCTCTGAAAAGATGGGCAAACTGATATCCAAATTGAGGGGGCAAAAAAAAAAAAAAAAAAAAATCACGTGTCACCTATTACTGTTTATCAATATTCCGACTGGAGGGATTCAATTAGATTCACTAAAAATACATTCAGAAGCTCTATTGATAAGACTGTTCCACTTCTAGATTATGCTAATGAACTATTTCAAAAGTTTGTAGCCCAGCAATTCACGGTTAAACCTTCCTACAAATTCGAGTACAAAATATGACCACATAAAAATATATTCCTTTATACATATCTGGGTTGTGTAGCCAGCAGATTAAAATGGGCCTTAAAACACCCTTATTGAACAATTCATAAGCAGGAAGAAGGCTGAGACTAATGTTAACTAATGCAGAGAGCAGATTTCCCTACATATCAACATGGTCAAAATTTATTGACGTGTCTTCAAAATTGTAGTCAGATTGGTGCAGCCTATTCCGGGCTAATCTGCTCAACATAGCCAGACCTGGGACACAGATAAGAATCCAAGTTAGAGAACTTGTTTTGACATGTAATCTCCCACCATCTCAAATCAATTCTCATAATGGCAATTTTCCACATCTGGGAAATTCTGAGTCAAGTCCTGCTAACAAATAAATCTTTATTTGTTTTTTTTTTAAATCATGTCAATATTTTGTTGGGAACATATTACATAAAATATAATTGATTTGCAGATTATAGTTGTCTGAAATAATGGCTTTATAAACAATGCAATTTTAACAGATTCCACAATAAGTTGATTCTAGTTGCTATGAAAATTATCCGGCATATTAAGTTCCACATAGGGTGAACCAAAGGTAACTATAAAACATGTACAACTTCCAACAAAATTCCAAGAAAAGAGAAACAATGCTAATATATTGGTTAAAACTATGAAACAAAATTGTACCCTCAATCATCTTGAAAAGGGATGACCACCATCTGTTAGGTGATATCTGGTGTTGATCTAAAGATTCCTCAATTTCTTTATCATGCTTTCCATCCAAAATTCCCTGCAACGTTATAACGGCATCCTTGGCTGTCTTGAGAATACTGTTGTCATCTTCAATTTCCAATTGGCGAAGGTCATTCTGGGATGAGGTCAGGCTGACAGCAAGGGCAAATTGCGCTGCAGCTGCCCAGCGAGAGGAAGCTAGCCATCTTCGCTGTCCATCGAGGTGCTTCCCCTCTTGCACTGGCTTGTTTCCACCATCCCCATTGAGCACTAAGCTGCGTAAATATTGAGCATTGGCAGCTCCAGTACTTAGTACCATCTTTGAGAAAGCACTATCGTTGTCTGACAGTAGCTCCTCAGGGGTCCCATATTCACGGAGCTTCGACAACGTAAAATATTAGTATCATGTCCAATTTAGCTAAAATAGCTCTCAAGAATAAGTATTAAATCTACAAAATTCACATATCATAAGATAGATACAAGGCATACCTGCCCACCATCAAGTAGAAGGATCCGATCGCAGTCAATAATGGTATTAAGTCGATGAGCTATAATGAGCATGGTACAGGATTTAAACTCTTCTCGAATTGTTTTCTGTATCAGTGCATCAGTTCTGACATCAACCGCTGCAGTTGCCTCATCAAGTACCAATATCTTTGATCTCCGCAATAATGCACGAGCAAGACTCAATAGTTGCCTCTGTCCAACGCTGAAATTTTCTCCTCCCTCAGATACCTTGACAAAATATAATATTACAGATTAATACCAAATTCAATAACCTTAACCACTGAAACGTACAGGATGCACAACTTTTACTTTAAAGAATGTCTATGAAATACCGCTAACACTCAATTTGAATGGGATTTGAACTAATTTTACAGGCAAAGAAAAACCTCAATAATACAAGGGTTAAAGTGTAATTTTACCCCTAAACTATTCACAAAGGACAATGTTGCCCATAAACTATTCAACGTAGCAATGTAGTCTCTAAATTAATTAAACTAGAGCAATGTTGCTCTTACTATTTAAAACCTGAATGTTTAACCGTTAAGCTGGAGAGAACGAAGTTTGAACAATGAAGGCCACTGATCATGAGTGCCACACCTGCTGGAGCAGAAACCATCAATGGTAACATCAGCAACCATGAGAACCTCATCAATTTCTCCCTTCTCAATGACGCCGTATTGTTGAAAGTCTTAGACTTTCTCAATGATGTCGTCATGATTATCATCGTCTTTATCTTTCCTTGCTTTACCATCTCCATGGCTTAACAATGGCTCTGCTTTCTTGATTGTCGCCATCCAAGCGTCACTACTCTTGAGCATCAGCGTCATCGTCTTCCCCTTCCCCTCCATGATTGCCCTCTATGTCCCATCAAGCGAGTCATCAAGAATCCGGCAAGAATTCATTGCTTATGTTCTTTGCCAATGATGCATCAACCAGAGACAAAACAGTGTCTTTAACCTCTATTTCTTCATTGTTGCTGAATCCTTTTTCTTCTTTCAGCTCATTGGTTTGGAATTCTGGCACAGATTGGTGCATAGTTGTTATATGTTACTGCTTTTATAGAGGCCTTTATTTTTCCAATTGTTGCTGAATCATAGGATAGTATTGACAGTCTAAGACCCTTACTTCTTATGGCAAGTGTCTAGGGTAGAATATATATTGTCTTGTCCCTCTAGCTGACTTTATGAAATGAATTAGTCTTTTCTCCTCTATCTTCTTCCCTCTAACATTAGGTATCAGAGTTGTCTCTCTGGCCATGGGTCTGCCAGAGACGCGGTCCTCTACTGAGTGTGTGGGTGATCTTGAACACCGCCTGGAAATGCAATCAGCATTTGTTCAAAGCATTCAACAAACTTTGGACAAGCATTCCGAGGAGATTTCTGAGATGAAGCAAACCATGAATTAGTTATCAACCAAATGATTGATATATCGGCCAAGCATTCCATGATTACTAATCCACCACCTCGTCCTATTACACTTGAAACTGGCGAACCATCCCACACTCCTTTTGTGAACACACCAACACCTCCACCAACTCTTTCTATTCCTCCACCCCCATTATTCTCTCACCTAGCCACTCCTTTTGCTGCCGTTTCCCCTCCTCATATTTCCACACCACCACCACCTCAGTTTGGCTCTTTTTAGGGCATTCTTCTAACACCCACCCAACCTTATTCGGTTCCAACTAAACATACTGTGGGAATATTGTGTCATTATTGTAAATAATTAGCATTCATTGTCATTATTAGGCTTTATTAGCATTTATTAGGTTTTACCTCACTTGATGTGTATACATAACTTCAGTCTGTACATTAGAAAACACATCAATGTGAAATATACTTTTTTCTCTCTCAAAATACTGCATGGTATCAGAGCATTAGCCTCAAAAATTCAAATTCGGTTAGTTCTGGAATGGCTAAAATGAGACTTTCTAAACAGTACGTGAGGGCATTTGTGTGGACAATGGTGGAGCGAGTTTTGAATCTCATCGCCACCCTAGACATACACAGGAGGCTCTGAACAGCGAAATCTAGGACGACGATGGAGAACGGCAATGGAGAATGGCGGCGCGTGTGGACCATACGCGCTTGGCCCCTGCGAACTACGTCAGCAAGCTTTTGGCAGCGCGTGGAGGCGTGTGAAGGCTCCGTTTAGGATGCAATCTTCTCGGACGGTGATGACGCACTCTCTACAGCCAGATCTAGCAGAATTCGGTGTATGGGTACATTGTTTTTCGAACCATATTAGGTCGTATGGTGTTGTTAATGGCCTGTTTTGCTGGATTTGGAGTTATATTGGGTTGTAGCTTCCATTTTCAGTTTATTATGAAGCCTTTCCCTTATTTCAAGTGCTCTATATACTCCTCTGTAGTGTTATGACTAATTTTTCCAAATCTGCACCTATAGCATTAGTGGCAAAAAGGGGTTCCTTTCTTCAAGTTTTAAAACAACTCGAAGTGCAGTGGTATGAATTATAGATTCCGCGGCATCTGATCATATGACTAACTGTCATCAATTGTTCACCACTTACACCCCATGTGCTGGAAATGTTAAAGTGAAAATTGCAGATAGCTCCTTAGTACCTGTGGTGGGGAAAGGGAGTATCTGTATATCAGATTCCATTGTTTTAGAATCTGCTCTCCATGTACCAAAACTTGATTGCAATTTACTTTTAATCAGTCAATTGACCAGACAGTCAAATTGTTTCGGTAAATTTCTCCCGTCCCATTGTGTATTTCACGACCTATCATCTGGTGCGACAATCAACAGTGCCAAGAAATACGAGGGGCTCTATTATTTAGAGGTCGTCACTCAAGTGGATAACTCACCTATTGTTGGTAATTCTGTGTCTACCTCTAACATTAATAATTTTATGTTACGGCATAAGAGGATGGGTCATCCTAATTTTCATTACCTTCAATGAGGGTTCCCAACCTTATGCACCAACTTGAATTATAGTGAAATCTAGTGTGAGGTGTGTGAACTTGCCAAACACCACCGAATTTCCTTTCCCAGAGCCAAATACACACCCACCAAACCTTTCACAATCATTCACAGTGACTTGTGGGGCCCATCTCGTACTCCAAACCATACTCAAACAAAATGATTCATTTCCTTCATTGATGACCATACTCGCATTTGTTGTGTTTATCTTTTAAAGAACAAGTCTGAGGCTGCATCCACATTCATGAGTTTCTCCACCATGATCAAAAACCAATTCAATACCAGCATCCAAGTCTTACACACTGATAACGGTACTGAGTATTTCAACCAGTCTTCGAGTCATTTCCTCCAAAATCATGGTATTATCCATTCAAGTACTTGTGCCCATACCCCTCAATAAAATGGGGTTGCAAAAAAGAAAAATAGACATATCCTCGAAGTTGCAAGCACACTCATGTTCACTTGCAATGTGCCAAAGTTTTATTGGGGGGATGCCATTTTAACTACGACCTATCTTATCAATTGAATGCCCAGTGGAATCTTATCCTTTGAAACTCCTCTCCAAAAGTTGCAAAGTGTTTTTCCTACATCCCACATTGAAACCAAACTTCCGCTTCGGGTATTTGGTTGCACAGCCTTTGTTCATATCCACCAAAACAGTAAACTCGAACCTCTAGCTATCAAGTGCATCTTTCTTGGCTATTCTCCCACTCAGAAAGGATACAAATGTTTTGGTCCTGTTTCTAAATGCATCCTTGTAAGCCTTGATGTTGCCTTCTGTGAAGAAACTCGCTTTTATTCCAATTTTTCAATTCAAAGGGAGAGTATAGGTGAATCTCAGACTTGAACTAGCACCTTACACAGAATATGTACTTCTTGAGCCCTCACTAAAACCATTACCCTCACCATCTTTTCCGTCAAACACCCCACCTTCACCAACCTCTTCTCTTATGCCAAAATTTAGGGAAAACAAGAAAACAGAGAGAGATGTAGAAAGACCACAAGAAGAGTTATTGGTTTACACTCGAAAGAAGAAATCAAAAGATAGTGAGCACCTTGTATTTGAGGTACCAAGAGAGTCAGAACCAGAGGTAGTTCTTAAAGCTGAAGTACCAAGCACTGATCCATCTAGTAAGCCAGATGATTCAGAACAAGGAAGTGAATCTGCTGAACTTGATCTTCCTATTGCTCTCCAGAAACAACCTCGGACTTGTACTTTACATCCGATTCAAAAGCATGTATCATACAAGCCTCTCTTTCTTAGTTACCAGGCCTTCATCACTAATTTGGATAAAGTTGTTATTCCTAACAACATTCAAGAGGCACTGGAAATACCAGAATGGAGAAATGCAGTTATGGAGGAAATGAGAGCTCTAGAGAAAAATGAAACATGGGAGATTGTTGAGACACCTAAAGGCAAGAAACTAGTTAGTTACAAGCGGGTCTTTACCTTAAAGTATAAGGCTGATAGCACACTTGACAAGTTAAAGGCATGGTTGGTGGCAAAGGGTTTCACCAAGACATTGTATAGACTACAACGAGACGTTTGCACTAGTTGCAAAACTAAATACTATTAGAATTCTCTTAGCAGTAGCAGCCAATCTTGAATGGTAACTTCATCAACTAGATATTAAGAATGCCTTTCTAAATGGAGAATTGAAGGAAGAAGTCTACATGAGTCTACCTCCAGGGTTTGATAGAAGCAGAAGTGACAAAGTATGTTGGCTGGAAAAATCCCTATATGGCTTGGAACAGTCACCTAGAGCTTGGTTTGACAGGTTCTTAAGGGTCCTGAAGTTAGAAGGTCACAAACAAGGATTATCAGATCATATGATGTTTGTTAAGGCTGAGGGAGCTAAGAAGTGCATCCTTATTGTCTATGTAGACAATATAATTCTTACAAGAGATCATGTTGAGGAAATAGCAAGGATAAAGACTATCCTTGGTAAGGAATTTGAAGTCAAGGATCCCTGGAACTTGAAGCATTTTTTTTTTTCGGATGGAAGTTGCAAGGTCAAAACAAGGCATATATGTATCTCAGAGGAAGTACATACTTGATCTTCTCAAGGAAATTGGTATGTTAGGTTGTAAAACTAAGGAAACTCCTATTGTAGTCTCAAGAAAAAAGAAGCCTGAGAAAAGCAGTAAGGAGTTAGAAGGAGAAGACAACTCTGATAATGAGGTTGAAGAAGAAAAAGACAATGAAAAAGAAGAAATAGTTGATAAAGACAGATATTAGAGATTAGTTGGAAAGTTGATTTATCTATCCTATACAAGGCCAGATATTGCATTTGCTGTCAGTGTAGCAAGTCAATACATGTGTGATCTAAGGAAGAAACACCTGGAAGCTGTATACAGGATTCTTAGATACCTTAAAGGTATACCTGGTAAGGGATTGCAATTCAAGAAGCATGATCAGAGGATGATTGAAATCTATACAGATGCAGACTGGGGACCTATGGAGACAGGAGATCCACCTCTGGATATTGCTCATTTGTGTGGGGAAACCTTATGACTTGGAAAAGCAAAAAAAAAAAAAAGAGTTGTATCCAGAAGCAGTGCTGAATCAAAGTTGAGAGCATTAGCTCAGGGAATCATAGAAGAACTATAGACAAGAAGGGTCATGGAAGAAATACAAGAATTGATCCACCAATGAAGTTGTATTGTGACAACAAGGCTGCTATAAGCATGGCATTGAATCCTGTACAACACGAGAGATCCAAGTATATTAAAGTGGATAAGCATTTTATTAGAGAAAAAGTAGAGGAAGGCATTGTATGTTTGACATACCTACCTACCAAGTTACAAGCTGCTGATGTGCTCACCAAAGGACTACCTAAGCCTGCCTTTGAGAGTTGTATAAGCAAGTTAGATATGATTAGCATCTATGATCCAACTTGAGGGGGAATGTGGGAATATTGTTTCATAATTGTCAATAATTAGCCTTCATTGTCATTATTAGGCTTTATTAGCATTTATTAGGTTTTACTTCACTTGATGTGTATATATAGCTTCAGTTTGTACATTAGAAAACACATGAATGAGAAATATACTTTTTCTCTCTCAAAATACCACACATACTAGAGTAGAGTTTCCTAAGTTTGACGGTACAGACTTTCGGGGTGGTCTTACTGCTGTCATCAATTCTTTGCTGTGGATGAAACACCTATTGGACATTGAATCTGACTTTTGAGCATTCATTTGGAAAAACGAACATTAAGATGGCATTTAGCTTTTGTGAAACAACGCCTGCTTTTTGAACTTTCTTGGGATGACTATTTTAAAGAAATGGAGGCTAAATTTGGTGATGTGACCGCGGCCTTCAGGATGATTTGCTCAAATTTTTTCATGCTGATGGCATAGGTGGTCATTCTGGTATTAATCCTACTTACAAAAGGCTGGCTTCCTTCTTTTATTGGAAGGGCATGGAGATGTTCGCAATTATGTGCATCAATGCACGACATGTCAACGCTTTAAGCCTGAACTAATAGCTATGCCTGGGCTTCTACAACCCTTGCCCTTACCTAATCATGTTTGGTCCGAGCTCTCTATGGGTTTTATTAGTGGCCTCCCCACGTCTTACTCTAAAACTACTATTTTAGTAATGGTTGACAGGCTATCTAAAGCAGCTCACTTTATGGCTCTTAAGCACCTGTTTATTGTCGTGGATGTGGCCAATCTTTTCATGGATAATGTTGTTAAGTTACATGGCTTTCCCAAGTCAATTGTGTCTGACAGGGATCCCATTTTTCGTGGCAAGTTTTGGAAAGAGCTTTTTCGTTTATATGGGGTATAACTACAGTTTTCCTCTGCTTACATCCCTAAACCAATGGTCAAACCGAAGTGCTTAATTGTTGCTTGGAGTGTTTACCTTCGTTGTATGACAGGTGATTTCCAAAACAATGGGTCAAATGGCTGCCCTTAGCTGAGTTATGGTACAATACCACTTTCCATTCTTTGATTGGGATGTCTCCCTTTGAAGCCATGTATGGGGTTCCACCCCCAACTCATCTACCCTACATTGCTGGAGATTCTCCTAATGAGATAGTTGACAGAAATTGTATTTCTAGGGAGCTTACCATCCAACTCCTGAAACAACACTTATTGAAGGCTCAACATTGAATGGTCTAGCAAGCCAACAAACACAGATCTGAATGCAAATTTGCTGAGGGGGCCATGGGCTTTCTTAAGTTGCACCCCTTTAGGAAGAACCTTTTGAACAATTCTTCCTTGCATAAGTTGGTTGTACGCTACATTGGACCCTTCAAGGTAGTAAAATGAATAGGTTCGGTTGCATATGAGCTGGATCTTCCTCGTACCACTAGGGTGCATCCGGTTTTTTATGTCTCTTTGCTAAAAAATTATGTTAACCCTGCTGTACCTGCCAGTCCTACCTTGCCTCCAGTGGATGAGCAGGCTCAATTTATGCTGGAACTAGAGGAAATATTGGGTCGCAAGCCCATTAAGCACCATAATCTACCAGTGGCACACGTTTTGGTTCGCTGGAAATTTTCTCAACCAGAAGATGCCACTTGGGAAGACCCCTCAGCTATCAAACACCAATTTCCACACTTCAACATTGATGCTCCAACTTCTACCACTATCCTTGTGGACAAGGATGTTTTTTAGTGGGGGAGTATTGTTATATGTTACTGCTTTTATAGAGGGCTTTATCGTCTTTACGCATTCTGCTACTGTGTTTTCTAATTGTTGCTGAATCATAGGATAGTATTGACAGTCTAGGACCCTTACTTCTTATGGCACGTGTCTAGGGTAGAATATATAGTGTCTTGTCCCTCTAGCCGACTTTATGAGATGAATAGTCTTTTCTCCTCTTATCTTCTTCTTCCCTCTAACAATAGTAGTATCTGAAACATCATGTTCTGTAATGGCAGCAAATATCGTTGTGTGCTTTGGATCATCGGGTGGAGAATGAGATAAGGGCAAGCTTTTGTGTTGGAAGTTGGAGGAAGCAAAAATGGTGATGATAATGAAGTTGACATTAATGTAAACGAATGGTGATGAGAGCATGGTTCTCGCAAAAACCCAAAGACGAGGGAAAATAGAGACAACGAGGTTAAACGCAGAATCCCAGGGATGAGGTTAAAATGGGATCCACTTGCTTTAGATAATAGACATTTTGGGTTTTAAATGACAAGGGCAACATTGCTCTAGTTTAATTAGTATAGAGGATACATTGTTATGTTGAATAGATTAGGGACAATAATGCAACTTAACCCAAAATACAATTTACCACTTCAAGAAGCAGAAACCACATCTGTAAGATTATAACCAAACACAAGAAACCATAATTAAAGAACGATTTAGCATTTACCTCAGCTTCAAGCCCCAATGAATTCCTCCGAATCACATCCTTCAAATGTGCTCTCTCCAGAGCCTCCCAAAGGTCAGCATCATTATGCTCATTAAAAGGATCAAGATTAAATCTCACACTTCCTGTAAGTTGCTATATGATATTAATTAAATTGCTAGTGTTATTTGAACTTTCATATTGTTACATCCATGAAACCAAATTAAGTTGAAAGCCCGTATCAACAAAACACAATTTAAGACAATAGAGATAAACTACGAATTAGAAATTGCTGAAATTTAAGGTTAAAGTGAAGTGATAAGGAGTGGAAAGGCTTACACACCAAAAGAAAGGTTATTTGAAAATCTTGCATGATGACAAGCAATTATAAGTCTCCGTTAAACAGGGAAAACAAACTCCAAAACTCCCAAGTAATAAAATCTAAACTTGATAAAACTACCACTTAGTTTGTAAGGCTTATCCAAAGGCTATGTATGGCACATTAAGTTGATGACAAAACAATTAAATGCAAGGCAATGAATATCCTCACAGACAAGTCAAGGCAGCAAGCTTTACCACCCATACCACAGTTAAATAGCAAAGTATCTGTAAAAGATTGATGCGGCTATCAGAAGTCCAATTAATGTTGTTTTAATTTTTCCCTCTCTTGGTAAGCCTTCCCACTTCCCACTGTAATCCCTCCCTCAAAAGTTAGGGAGGTTTACCATGTATTCATTGCAAGTAAAACTGGCAAAACAATTCTAGACCCTTCTGAGAAGCATAAGCTTAAACGATGATAGGTTTGTAAATTAAATTAAGGGATAATAAAACTTTTAATCACTTAAATTTGCCTCCATTATCCATTTGGTTTCTTAAATTTAACTTAGTTATCAATTTGGCCCTTATTGTTTAAAGAGTAGATAATATTGTTAAAATCTGCTTACATAAACAATAGAATATTGATGACAGCCACGTAAATTAAAGAAAAGAAGTACAATTATTTAGGTAGGAAAAGAACAAACATAGAAATTTCAAAAAATAAAAGAACAAAGTACAGCTTAAGGGATTAGATTGATAAAAATTAAATTGATTTGAGGGCCAGTTTATTCTCATTTAGTTACAAATACATGCGAAGTTATCAATATACTTTACATATTAGATTAATTTGAGGATCAATTTGTGTTTTAAAACTTAAAGGGCCAATGTGATAATTTAATAATACATAAGGGACCAAATTAATAAAAATTAAACTTGAGGGACCAATTCGGTAACTGAAATAAACTTGAAAGACTGAAAATCTCATTATCCTGAAATTTAATTCGAGAGTTAGTACAAGGTAGAGGCTCACCTAGAATTTATGCTACAACACAAATATTCATGGGAAGCACTTAATAGCTTAAGTTTTGCTTCTTTGAGATTTAGTGCATGGCTTCTCTATAGAGGATGAAGGAGGTAGGCTTGTTCCTTATGGTAATGAAATGGGATTGGAAAGCTTTTCAGTTAACAAGCCATGTAATTGACTTGAGCAGATTATGAAGAAAATAATTTATAGTTGCAATGAAACTTGATATTGAGTTAAGAGTCATAAGATAACTGTGTTAAAAAGGAATGAAAAATGTAAATACCTGAAAAGAGAACAGGTGACTGTGGGATAATTCCAAGAACTTTACGTAAATCAGTCAGTCCAAACTTAGCAATTTCACAGTCATCAATTAAGATTTTTCCTCTTTCTAACTCTACGAGTCGAAATAAAGCATTAAACATGCTAGTTTTTCCTGCTCCTGTCCTCCCGACAATGCCAACCTTGTCACTTGGAAAAATTGTGAAAGACAATCCATGTAAGACAGGTGGAAGTTCTGGCCTATATCGAAGAACAACATCTTCGAATCTAATTGATCCAGATGATGGCCAACCAGGAGGAGGACGATTACTCTCAATGATAGATGGAGCCTCTGAAGGCAAATCAATATAAGAACCCACACGCTCAACTGCATTTAAACTATTCTCAGCCAGACTTGCAAGTCTGAGCACCGCAGTGAGCAAACTAGTAATATTTAAAGCATAACTAAGCAGTAGCCCCATTGTGGAAGCAAATGCCTGCTGGTTCTCAGCCCTCCCATTTTGCAATACAGCAAAAGATGCAGTAAACCATATCATAAGGCCACCCAAAGTTTCCAGACGAATTGCAAGCCATCGGTTACCACTCATGTTCACAAGAGTGAATCGTATATTATTGTCCATGGCTTTTCCATTAATGTCAGCCATTCGATCATAAGCTTTGTAAGCACGGATAGTTGATAGACCATTAAGTGCTTCTCCAAATTGAGCATATACAGGTGATCTGCTGATAGAATCTAAGCGCTTCACTTCACGGGCTGTGCTCTAAAATGAAGAAAAATTGCATACATAAAGCAATTTACATAACATATACTGAAAACAGACTTTTACGGAAAATATTTATGAACTAGCAATGATTAAAACTTGGTATTGATAAGAAATCCATATTTATGTGACTGACAACAAAGCCTGTCAAATAAGGCATAAAGGCTTGCATTTGTCCACTGAAAGAAACAATAAAAATGACCTCTAAAGTGCTTCGCTATGTTTCTGACTGGTTAAACACTGAGCAAAGCAAGAAAGGTTGCCAGATGGGACAAGTTGTATGCATACTGCCGAAGAAGGCAGCAGAAAGTTTTGCTACTTCGAAAAAAATTCCCCTAGGAGCTAAGCTTATGTAGATTGAGACTTTGTGAAGAAGAAACCCATCTAATGAATTATCTTCTGTTAGATACTGCTAAATGATATTTAAAATAAGCAGCAGTCCTCAAAAATCTATCATAGAATGTTCGTACCTGATAATATAGATAGGCTCCATAAAACAACACCAATAATGGCATTATTGCCCACAAGGACATTGTGCTAACAATCCCTATCAAGATGAATGTTGAAAGAAGCTGGGAAACCTGGCCCAAAAACATATTCACAAAAGGAGCAACATTCCGGTCTATATCACCTAGATCCTTTGCAAACCTATTGATGATCCTCCCAAGAGGATTGGTATGAAAAAAAGCCATAGGAGCCCGTAAAATAGAGTGGAGCATGGCATTGTGCAACCTTCTAGCAGCATAAAGACTTGATATGATTAGCCAATAAGAATTTGTTAAAGTCACCAAAATCTGGAAAAAAACAATAGAGAATATTGAAAATTAATATCTTACAGAGCTAAAACTCAATGAAGCGCTAAGGTAATAACAATGTTATCATTTACAAAGGATTGAAAGGAAATAGGAAGATACGTATTAAGATAACACACAACCACATACATAAAAACAAATTTATGTCATAGATTAATATCTTCAATCAGGTGCAGAATTATTTCAATGAACACAGAAGCCAAAAAGGGAATTAATTGACAATGACTTGAAAGGGATGCAAAATGATTCATCTAGCACATATTAAAATCACACCTGACAAAATGACAGGCTTGCATATATCAGATTGTAGTAACCAGGACTATAACCCTCTGATGCACTCTGATCAGTCCAATGGCTTAACCATGTGCTACTGGAAACTCGCAACACTTCAGTTAAGATATAGCATGCAAAGAGTACTAGCACCACCCAAAATCCTCCCAATGCATTCTTGTACCTAAAACGAAACAAGATGAAAGGCCAGATAAACAAATAGAGAAGTACATGGAAATAGAAAGGCCAAATGAAACAGGAACATAAGATGAAAATTCCACGCTATTGTTCTTTTTCCATATAATCCACCATCAAGATTCTGCAACATAAGCATGTGATCAGGGAGGTGTGCGCAGTTGTGTCCAGTTTATTACCACTTCATGCACTAATTATACATGGTACTTCTATTTATATTCGATCAATTTATTTGCCTTTCTTACCTCTGTAGAACTTTCCAACTGACAACACCTGTTTCTCGTTCTTCTTGTTTAATAAGAACAGATTTGGCTTCTTTTGATTTAATTTCACTTTTTGCCATATCATTAGGCATTCCGTTGGGAACTGATTTTGAAGAAGACTTTTGCATACTTTCACTGTCTGTGTTTTCTTCTGCATACTCCTCCATCTTTCCAGCATTTTCCATAAGCTTTTGGAACAGTGGTCCATGGTTAGAGAGATCCTCAAATGTTCCCTCTTCTTTTACCATACCATCATGGACCAGTATAATTCTATCGACCTGTGAAAGGAAATGTAGCTGATTTGTAACAAGAACTCGAGTTTTTCCTCTCAATTCCCCTTTGATGCATTTATCAAACACCTGAAATGACATGCAAGTTAGATAATGTTATCATTGAAAATGGAAATCAAAACTCCATAGCTAATGGCACGAGACAAAGCAGCAAAGATTAATATAGAGCTCATTAAAACAGTGATAAACAATTTCATATTTCATTTACCTCTCAGAACACCCTCATTTAAAATTTATTTACTACATCACAACTTTTTATAGCATGCAAGCATCTGAAGCAGCCTAAGTGTTTCCCTTAATCACAAATGAAGAAGCAATAAAAATAGTAGGCAGTAAAAATGCAGTCATTTAGCATGACAGTAACCTGTCTTGCAACATGCGCATCCAGGGCACTTAAAGGATCATCAAATATGTACACGTCTGAATCGGAGTAGACAGCTCTAGCCATGGATACCCTTTGTTTTTGACCACCACTGATATTCACCCCTCTTTCACCAATTTCAGTAAGGTCACCACCCTATTCATTAAGCCACAGACCTGTTAACAATGGATGTTAACTTTATAAGAACAACCTAAATCAGATAACCTTCATATACTCACAGGAAGCAACTCGAGGTCATGCTGCAGTTCAGTCACATCTATTGCCTTCTCATATCTCACAGGGTCAAAAGGAGAACCAAATAAAATGTTATCCCGCACCTGTGCATTGAAAACTGATCAGTGTTGGGTCACCCAATAATTATCATAGGGAAAAACGGGAGAATAGCATCAAAAACTGAAGATTTTAATGATTGATAACACCTTAACAGTCACATAATTTAGCTTTTGCAGGAATGATGGAGGCTAATGTTAGAAAATGTAGAGACTTCAGCTGCACATGACTGTACTTAAACCATAAACCAAGGTTATAGTACTATAGTACTATGCCTATGTTCAACATTCCTTTCCAACAAAAGGTCATAAAATATTCTAGTATTAAACATAGAACGAAAAGAGAAATGAACATATAAAGACCGTACAGTTGCGTTAAAGATCCATGAAATTTGTGGTACATAAGCAACTGTCCCTCTTATAACAACAGTTGCATCTGCAGTAGGTGGAAGCTCCCCAAGCATAGCAGATATGAGCGATGTCTTTCCTTCTCCAGTACTGCCAACTATTGCAACAACGCAACCAACAGGTACATCCAAATTGACATTAGACAATGTAGACCTCCCAGCCTGAACAAAGGAAACTTTAGTACATCTGTTTCCAGAATCAATATTAAATTATTTGAATTAATAACGTGCAAGAAAGATTCGTGCTCATATAATACTGGGAGGCATGGTAAATGCTGATTCTAACTGTCTAAAAGATAATGTATCCACAGAAGATAACATATCCATACTTCAAAGAAGGTAAAGTTATCAAGACAAAAAGAGAGATAAGACTAAGAGGGATACAATAAACAAAGACAAGAAAAATCCAATCCACGTTGGGCATGCTGAAGAAGGGGGAAATACTTAAATACATGAAACTTGAAATCAGTTAGATGGAGAATGATATAAAAAAAAAAAAAACTTTCCAGTAGACTTTTTCTCAACACTTTTGAAGAGAAAAAAATAAATAGAAGAATAAAATCCACAAGGCCTGACTCTTCAGGAAAGATATCCCTGATATCAGAAATGGTTTGAAGGCCGTAGGAGTGATTTTAAGAGGACTCTTCAAAGATGATTTGGTATTTAGAAGATGCACAACGTAAATAGAAAGGAAATACAAGCCACAGAGTTTGGCAAGTCTCTTAACGCACAAACAAAATCTCAAACTAAAAAATATTCTCCTCCTGATCAGTGTAAAATACCAAATGAAGTAACCACAATCAATGAAACGGGAAGTACCCAACGTAAACTAAAACGCATCAAGGGGCATGACATGTAAAACCCATGTCACCCATGAACAGCACAACAATACCAATATTCAGAGCTGTATATGTGCATTATCATGAATAAAGGAAGAATATCACAACAGAAAAGCAAAAAACCTTTGCATCCCATGAAAAATTTCCATTCTTCACTGAGATGGCTGGTAATCCTGGCTCTAGAGGGGGATTAGGCATAAGAATCCGTTCTTCTGCTAAGAGCAACTCTTCCAGACGCTTCAAGGATACATTTGCATTAACAACCTTTAAAGAAATAATAACAATAACATCAGGACTTGAAGAGAAACTCCACTATAACAAAAATGTTACAAAAAATTCCCATATCAGAAGCACAGAAATTTACTGTGCCACTTATTTGGTATTTTATCAAAGAAATAAAAAAGTAAAAACAAGACTATTGTACAATACATCTTGACCATGGATAAGAAAAGTAAAATGGAATAGCCTCATTAAAGCTAAAACCATTGAAGATCAGAGAAATTAGGACAGCAATGGAGAACAGGGATTCCTCCACAACAAGAAACAGACCACAATCTAGCAAGAAATACACATTACCAAAGAGCTTTATTGCCCTTTTTTTCTCCCAAAGCCTTTTTATTGAACAAAAATGAGGAACAACCTATCCCAAATTTACTAAACCACCTCACAAAGAAGTAGAAGGTTTGTCTCTAAACTCTAGACCACCTATTCGCTATTTGTACGATTCAATTAAGTACCATTCTGCAAAGAACAGTTCCTCAAAACAATAATTGGCTTAGCATCATAAAGAAACCAATAATGGAAATAACATCTTGCACTTTTAGCGTCTCCTAAAATCTCCACATCACTAATTTAATTTATTCAATGTTCCCTGGACTGAATAAAGTTGTAATAAACAACAAACTACATGTACAAAAAAGTACAGAACTGTGAATTACAATAAGCAAATAATTGCTGCATAAATTTACCCAAACAAGGAATAAGGGAGAAGAAAGACCTGAGTAATAACATTAGGAAGCATGAAGAGGGGAAACCGTAACACAGCGAACAAAGAAAGGGATGTAAATGCTCTCGAAGGTGTTAAATCCCCTCCAAGCAAGGTGAACACTCCAAATGAAATAACAGTTACAAAAACTGGGATGCTGTTTAGTATAAATCCATTACACTGCAAAATAAAAAGGCGTCAAAGTCCAAAAAGTAATATCAGAATACAATTGAAAATGATTTTCAAGTTCTGTATTTTATTTTCATCTTCAACATTAATAGTTGATGAAATAACGCATGAAGAACCCATAATAAAACTAACAACTCTTTAAATATGAATGATTAATATAGGGTTTGTGCGAAAGGAAAGCATTTCCCACTTTTCAATGCATTCTTTCTTGCTAAAAGACAGGGAAGGGCATCCCCATTTTGCTAGAAAAAGAGGGTGCTAACTCATTCAAAAAATTTTTCCATTGCTGGAGAATTTTGGTTGTTAGCATCAAACCCAACTAATTAGTAAAAGAATGATAGTGATGAATCCTAGACTTAAAAGTTACTGTGAGTTAATTGAATATTTCAATGCAAGTTGGTCAAAACTAGTCTTCCCACACAAAAGCCTAACATCTGATAGTTCAGTTACCTAGAATTGATAGTTGTTTAGTTATTTATTATCTATCAGTAATTTAATTCTGCTTTTATCAACAACCACATTCATCTTCACCGAGTAAGACTTAAAAACTAGAGAATAATCTTGGTTATATTCAATTATTTTTGCATGGTGTTAGAGCTAAGAAAGGTTTAAGTCTTCAATGATTACTTCAGGGAAAAATGGAAATAATTTCTTCTACGTTTATTTGTCCAAATAAGGGCAAATATATGCAACATAATACAATATGGCCAAATAATTTGGGGGGCTGAAAAATTAGGTATAAAGGGAAAAAATAGGAAACAAAGCAAACACATACAATCCTAATCTACCCTATTTAATTGTAATATTTACAATATGTTAATACAATTAATCTATGATTTCCACACTTCCCCTCAAGTTGGATGATACATGTTAATCATGTCCACTTTCCAACAAAGTACTGAAACTTGTCTCAAGCTAGTCCTTTGATGAGAATATCTGCTGTTTGTTGGAATGCATATCGGTAAGGTACAGAGAATTGTACTATCCTCTATCTTCTCTCTAATGATGTGCCAGTAATTTTCAACATGTTAAGTTTTATCATGTTGAATTAAGTTGTGTGAAATGTTGATGGCAGCTATGCTATCTGAGTAAAGCTTGATAGGCAAATTCACATTTTTCTTTATCTCCTCAAGCACCCACTTCAGCCATATACCTTCACAAATCCCAAGTGCAATTGCTCTCAACTCAGCTTCTGCACTACTTGCTACTACACTCTGTTTCTTGCTTCTCCAAGTGACTAGATTGCACCAAACAAATATACAGCACCAAAAGTGGACTTCATGTCCTCCTAATCACTTGCAGTCTGCATCTATAAAAATCTCCACATTCTATTTATTAGACTTTTTGAACAAGAGGCCATGGCATGGAGATCCAATTAAATACCCATGAATCCTATATAATTCATTCAAGTGTCACTTGGCCACAACCATGCTATCTACAAAAGCAATGTCAGGCCGAGTGTGGGATAGATATATTAGTTTTCCTACCATGCATTGGTATCTTCCCATATCCATTGACTTGCCACAGTCTTATTCATTACTGATCTTGTGGAATTCCAAAGGAGAAAAATACTTTTCTTATTATTCACATTGAGATACACCAACTATATATATGTAAACCAGGAGAAAAGACTAACAAAGCCTAAAAAAGACTAATAAAGTCTAACAACAACTAATAAATGCTGGACAATAAATGCTCAATATTCCCACAGTCCTTCTCAAGTTAGACCATAGATGCTAATCATCTTCAACTTGCTTATACAACTGTCAAATGTAGGCTTAAGAAGCCCCTCTGTTAAAACATTTGTTGCTTGAAGATTGGTAGGCAAGTAAGTCAATGATTCCTTCTTCTACTTTTTCTCTTATGAAATGCCTATCCACCTCCACATGTTTAGACTTTTCATGATGAATGGGATTTAAGGTCATGCTTATAGTAGCCTTATTGTCACAATAGAGCTTTTGAGGAAAATCCACTTTGACTTGTATCTCATTGAAGGCTCGTTTCAGCCATAACTCTTCCATTATTCTGCGAGCCAATGCTATCAACTTGGACTCAGCACTGTTCTTAGATACAGCTCTTTGTTTTTGACTTTTCTAGGTAACTAGATTTCCCCATACAAAAGAACAATATCCAAAAGTTGATCTTCAATCAGGATAGGTTCCTCTCCAATCAGCATCAGTATATACTTCTACGGTTATTTGTTCATGTTTCCTAAAGAATAATCTCCTACCAGGAATACCTTTGAAGTATCTCAAAATTCTATAAGCTGCTTCTATATGCTTCTTCTTTGGCTCACTCATGTATAGACTAGCTACACTTACTGCAAAGGCAATATCAGGTCTTGTATGAGAGAGATAAATCAGTTTCCCAACAAGTCTCTAATATCTTTCCTTATCAATAGCCTCTTCTTTCTCATTCTCTCCTTCTTCAGCTTCATTATCGGAGTTATCTTCCTCATATTTTTGACTCTTCCTCACTGTTCTTCTTAGACTCTGGTTTCTTCTTTTTCAAAACTATAATAGGAGTTTCCTCAAGTTTACAACCTAGCATGCCTATTTCTTTCAGAAGGTCAAATATGAACTTACTCTGAGACACATAGATACCTCATTTTGATTTTACAACTTCCATCCCAAATTTCAAGTTTCTAAGATCATTGACTTCAAATTCTTTCCAAAGAGCAATCTTTATAATTGCTATTTGCTCAGCATGATCTCTCCTGTGATAATTATATCATCAACATACACAATAAGTATGCACTTCTTATCTCCTTCAACCTTAATGAACAATCCTTGCTTGTAGCCTTCTGGCTTCAGAATTTTTGAGAACCTATCAAACCATGCTATGGGAGACTGCTTCAAGCTATATAAAGACTTCTTCAGCTTGCATACTTGATCAATTTTTCCATTATCAAATCTTGAAGGTAGAGTCGTGTAGACTTCTTTTAGCACTCCATTAAGAAAAGCATTTTCAATATCAAGTTGACGAAGAAGCCATTCTAAATTGGTTGCCACAAATAGAACTCTAAAGGTATTCAGTTTCACCACTAGTGCAAAAGTTTTGTTGTACTCAAGACCATATGTCTGAGTGAACCCTCTTGCTACTAGACAAGCCTTTAACTTGTCAAGGATACCATCAACCTTATATTTTGGAGTACAAGATCGAGGTTGTTTGATCAAGATCATTAGATTCATTTACTTGAAAGAGATCATTTGGCTCATTTGATGGATTGGCCTCTAAGAGTTCAAGAGCAACATGAGGTTCTAAACCACCAAATACTTTAGCTTTAAGTTACCTCTAGTGTTGACTCTCATGCTGCTTCAGGTACTAGTTGCTCACTTTTTTTTGATTTCTTCTTTCGAGTGTAAAAAGATAACTCTCCCTTTTGTGGTCTTTCTACATCTCTCCCTATTTTCTTGTTTTCCACAATTTCTGGCAAAGAAGAATGGCCTGGTGATGGAAGGCCAGATGAGGGTGGCATAATGGAACAAGGTTCAAGTAAAAAAGGTACGTTTGAAGTGGGAGTTTATTAGGTTCCTCATACTCCCAAGTCTGAAATTCACCCAAACTCTCCCCCTGAATTGAAGGCTTGGAATAAAATGGGGTACTTTCAAAAACGTCACATCACAACTCACAAAGAAACGTTCAACAATAGGATCATAACACTTTTATCCTTTTTGAGTAGGTGAATACCCTAAAAAGAGACATTTAACAACTAGGGTTCAAGTTTTGATCCTCGATGAAAGTAGACAAAGGATGCACAACCAAACACTCGCAATGGAAGGTTGGTCTCAACATGAAATGTAAGATAGATAATCCGTAATTTTTTAAGTAAGGATTCAAAGGACAAGACCCAACTCGACATCACAATTACACAGTATTCGTATGATTACAATATCTACATAATGAATGATAAATCTTTTAATATCCTCTAATATCACAATAACACATAATGAATGATAGATCTTCTAATACGGCTCTAATGTCTTAATACTTGTGAAGGAAAATCATAAGTCTCTAAAATTTTCAAAAAATTCCATTCCCTTATTCTAAATCAACTTAAAGCTCCTCAAATCTTCAAGAGTGATAATGCCAAAGAGTACTCAAGTCAAGCCTTTGAAGAGTATCTTAAGACTCATGGGATAATCCACCGGACCTCATTTGTAGATATACCTCAACCAAATGGTACCCGAGCTTTCTTCTAGATAGAAACCCGAGCTTTTGGTGACCCTTAACAACCAACATGACAAATTGTGCCCACTCATGCTAGTTCTTGCCATTGAGTTTCTTTGGGCACATAAGAATAGTCAACCCATCAAGTCTAGAAGCCATGGAAGAACTTCCAATCAAGCGTGAGGTGGCCAGCGAATGATTCCCTCAAGTTCTAAAGTTGCAATACCTCATCCACCTATAGATTTTGGGTTCAACTCCATAGCATACTTTGTTTCATACTTAGTAATATCTTCAATTTCGACCCCAACCGTTTGCTTTGATGATGCCACATGGATATTGGTGGAAAATCCTCCTGTATATTATTTTGAGAAGAACAGTACAATATATACATGTTAGGTAATAATTACAAGACAGAAAAATAGGGATATACAAAATCAAGGGGAATCGAAGTATATTTGACTAATTACAGAATATAATAATTGCAATTTATTATTTGGATTTCCAGAAATATTCCATTTTCTATTTGTTCCGGAAGGACAACCTTGGTACAGTCATTTCAGATATGTATTTTGATAGCTCTATAGAAAAGAATCAAATATGAGATGAGCAGAACCAAGTTGTTTAAGCGAGCATGCATGCTGTTGGGTGCTCAAAATAACTATAGAAAATAAAAAGGAATAAGAGAAATAAATTTATTAAGATGGTCTAGAACAAGTACCTCGTTCTATACTTCCCTTAATAGCCACATTTAGGAGAATCTCCAAAGGGTTTAAAAGACTGCTTTATTGATGCTCATGATATGCTAGCTTCTAAATTGCTAGTCATATGTATAATGATAAATACAATATAAAATATTGAATAAAGTCTAGATAACTGGATAACTAAATAAAATCTCCTAAAAACCTAAAATACTACATAAAATCTAAATATCTAAAATATTGAATTAAATCTAAACAACTAAATAAAATCTGGGGAAATCTAAATAAAAAACTAAATAAAATACTGGATCAAATAATCTATCTTAATTTATCTTCTCACACTTCTTTCTTGAATAAGTCTTTATGGGCACGCTATCTTGAATCTTATCACATGCATTCCCAAGCAATATAAAAACAGGGTTTAATTGGACAAGATAGAAAATATCTATAAAAAGGAACCAATATAATTACAAAATGCATTAAAATTTTGAACTTATACTGTACCGCGCCAAGTAATAATGCCTTCTTGAACCATGATAATTCATCATTTCTGACAACTTGTACTTTAGATTGGAAACTACTCTCCCATGCATAACATCTAAAGCATGTGAATCACATAATTAACTGATACCGAACTTGTTTATCTGAAGTAAAAAATAATCAAATACATACAGTTAATCATATTGGAGAAAATCATACTTTACAGTGTCCATAGAAGCCAAAATTTCATTCATGAGACCAATTCTCTTGTCTGTACGCTGCAACCCTTCCTTGGACCACTTTTGCATTCTACTAATAATAAAAGTCTGCTTCCACAAAACAGAAGTTTAAGGTCACAGAATTAAATGAATTGTAGATTACAGCAAGGTTCAATTACAGATGGTAAAAGTCCAAATCCAATGATGCATAAAGACATTATGCCACACAAAAAGTTCCTGCTTCAGCAAAAGTTAAAATAAAAAATAAAATAGAACCAACATATCTGTCTTTTACTGAATACATCCCTTATTCAAATAGAAGATAGGTACATAAACTGGAATCAAGGCACTAAAGTTGCCTTAGAATTCTCAGTCCACATAAAAAGATTAAAAAGGAAAGAAAAAAAGGTACATAAATGGTGAGAACAGGACATGAGGGTATCAGTACCCCCCATCCAAAAAAAAAAAAAAAGGTCCAGCTACAATATAGAGAGCAAAAGAAGCATGAAAACAGAGATAATCTAAGCCTTACTGAATCTACCTAAATCTAAGTGCATAAATGCAATACTTGACAAATTTATATTAAAATCCCAAATGTAATGATTAGAAAATAAGTTAAGGAAAGACAACAAAACCACAAAACTTATTAGCAAAATCAAAAAAAAAAAAACACGAAAACGAAAACAAAAGCACTTCAGCTGCCCAAATGCCAGGCCCCAGAAAACTAATAAACAATTTCTTCAAAATATGTTGAAAACCTTCATAACAAAAAAAAAAAAAAGAAAAAAGAAAAAAGGTATTTCTGAATCTTAAAAAGACAAACATTTGAGATACAGCTGGACTGGCCTTTCAGGACTGGAGCAACTAATTTGTATTAATTCTATAAATTACTTCTGACCAAAAACAAATGCTTTTACCTTACGGAGTCTTGGTTTTCAAGCAAAGTAAAATACAAAACAAAGCAGAAATTTTCAATGAAAAAGCAACATCATCAACAACTGTATCATAGAGATTTCAACTAGAATGAAAATTCCAACTACAGTAATTACATAGACGGATTTAATAGCAGAGATTAGAGAACCATACAAGGTAGATGACCAATAAAGACAAGGAAATAATCATGAAAAACAAGAATAACAAATAGTCATCCCAAGACACTAGTGCCATCTCCACTAAAAGGAATTGAAGGTAAACAGGAAAAAATGCCACAGAAATACTTTAATGGCCAGCATGAATTTAAAATTAGTTACGTGAAGCAGATCACTTCCTGTACCTGTACTGGAAACATTAGAACAAGCATTAAAGCGCCAAGAATGGAAGCAACACCAAGTTGTTGGTATAGAAGAACCAGCGCAACAATGATACGAAATGGAGCTGACCACAGAGTATGAAGTGACTGACATATTTGCTGTTTGGGAGAAGGGGGGAAAAAAACAGACCAACCACAGTTACTAAACGTTAAGCATATTATGATCTACTTTCAAAATTTAATTCTATTGTTTTATAGTATGTTGATCCCCACAATCAAATTTTTAGATTTAATTGCTGCGAATAAGGACTGAGTAATCAAGAGGACTTGAGAAATGGTGTGAAGAATATGTCTACCATTGTTCAAAAACATAGGGCAGTAGAAGCTAATATGATAAAAATACAAGATCCTCAAATGAAATAATTTAAAAAAACAAATAATAATCGCAAATAAACCTGTGCTGTAAAACTTAAAGACTAACAAATGAATTAATCTAAGATCCCACTCACCATCAAGCCTGTATTTAAAAGTTAGCAGTTAACTATAACATACTTTGATATATGTGTACCAAACCAAGTTTTGGGATGGAGATATTCAAAACATCTGATTCATTATGAATAGATGCGTATGTCAGCTCAATCACACCCTGTTCCCTTTCTTAGTTCTTACTTGATTAAGTAAGACTGATGACCAATTTCAAAATATTTTCACCCTGATGACTCTACTTGACACATGACCTGATCTAGACCAGAGTGAAAATCAGATTCTCAATGACAGTGATTTATAATGGTTTGGCAGGTTCAGTGATGCAGTTCAGAAGTTTGGCTTCAGTAAAAGTATGTGAGAATTTTATGTCCCATCAAAGAACTAAGTTGCGTAAAAGCATAACATTGTGATAACCAAGAGTGATACCTAGGGCATTTCATCACTCAAGTCCTTTCTTCATTCTAACTGTCAAATGAAAGATTTTGGACCATTGAAGTACTTTATGGGAACTGAAGTTTTGAGGACCAAGAAGTGCATCCTTTGGTCTCAAAGAATAGGAAAAAGCAGTCTTAGATTCCACACAAGTAATCTAAGTGTCTGCTTGTTTAAGATTAAAAAATAAGCAATTTTTACATAGCTTAGAGATTTTATGAAATGAGATTTATTTTGTAGAGATTTTATTAAAAAAATATTATTTTATGTAAGGTTAATATAATACAAAGTGATTATTATTTAGTTATTTTTAAATGTTATGATATCTTAGTAGATCTATATTTATAAAAAACAATTTATCAGTTAATTATTTTAAAATTTTATAATTTATAATCTCTTTGAATATCTATGCATTATTATGACATTTTCTCTCATCTACCATATTAGATTATTTTTAAAAGATATTCAAAGTATCTTCTCAAATTAAATAAAAATATGTTTTTGTCATATTCAGATTATTTTCAAAAGTTTGAACAAACATAATAAAATTTCACAAAATATTTTTTTCCAAAAAATAATAAATTTTTTAATGAAAAGAACTTAAACAAACGGGCCCTAAATACAGACAAGTTGATGGAAAATGGAAGATTCCTTTTAGGAGTAGAAGACCCTACAATTTCATATTGATTTATTATTACCTTTTAGAATTTAGGATTTCAAGTATTATTAAAATTATTTTTTAAAACTTGATTAGGATTAGGATTTAATTTTGATAAATCTAATCTTTTAGATTACTATGTTATATTTTATTTAAATATTGATATTTCCTTAGATTCTCTTTTAATCTGTTATTATTAAATAATAAAACTCCATAAAAAGGACAAGGTTTTCTTTGTTTGTCACTCCTTGAATGAAGAAGAATTGATGCTATTTTGCCTCCCTTCTCTCTTTTGGCTAATTCTCTATCTATCTACTCTTTCCCCCTCTTCTGTCTTCTCTTGTCCCTTTCCCCTCCCCCATTCTACATCAATTTAGTAGCAGAGATTGGTTTTCTCCTTGCCTGTGTTGCCAAAACACTAATTATAACCATAACCTACACGCATAGCTCTCAACTTTCAAATTTTGGAACCATAAAATATGTTGCATAGCTCTTGACATTTCATCCTGCCACAAGATGAATAACTGCTAATCACTGAAGTGCTTGCATCTTCCAACTGTGATCATCCAATTGTAAATGTGGTAATATTGTAATTATTATAATGAAGTCCCGTTTGTATCATACTATTCAGCATGAATGAGAAATAAATTATTCTCTCAAATATTCCACATGGAATCAAAGTGTCTATGTATTCTAGGTGTTGTTGATTCACAAGGCGACTCTTCTACAGTGTTTTGGGCCATTTCTGTATGTGATAATAAAGAGTATTTTGACTCTCACTGATGATCTATGGAAAACCATTAGGGTCCAATTGGTGCAGCCCAAAAGACGGGTGACAAATGGCAGTGTATGGAGCACAAACATACCACTGGAAGATTCTGCACCAGCCATCATCAGCCAGCACATGGACACTCGTGAACAGTCTAGGATGATAGCTCCCTTCGACAACAACGTGATGTTTTCGGCTACATCCATGCATTACCCAAGTCTAGGGAACAACTAGATATTGTGCGTTTGTAGTAGTAAATTTGGTGTCATGAAGATGCAAGAAGCAAGATCTACTATCAAGTGCCAAATTATAATAATACAAGGCCACGGCACAATCTCTAGGTGAAAAGGTATGGATATATCAATTGTTGAAGGAAGTTGGCCTCAATACCTCATTATTGGAAAAGTTATGGTATGATAGTAAAGCTACTCTACACATTACTTATAATATTGTATTTCATGAACGTTCAAAATCATATCAAAATTGATTGTCAATTTGTTCACAATAAGATTTAGGAGGAATTCATCTCCATAAGACATGGCAAACTGGGGAACAATTGGGTGATATATTTACAAAAGCTCTTAATGGGGCTTAGGTTGAATACAATTGTAACGAGTTGGGCATGATTAATATCTAAGCTCCAACTTGAGGGGGGTGATAGGATCAAAGAATATTCATTTCATTATTGTGTAGATATTATAGCTTAATTATAGGGATAGGATATTATTCTTTAGTTATGAGCATGATATGAAGAGAAATAAAGAAATAAAGATCAACTAGTTTTAGTTAGTCAGGAAGTTAGCTTGTTAAGACTTGCTCTAAGGGTCCATATAAAAGATCCTAAGTGTAGTTACATATTATGCTTAATGATAAAAACCCTGGAAATATTTCTGTCTCTCTATCCTATTTCTCTGTTTCTATTCTATTTCTTTCTCTCTCTTCTCTATCTTATGTTTCTATTCTTTTCTCACATCCCTTCTACCATATCAGTGGTACCTAGAGCCCCTTTTCCTTCCTTGTCCGCCTAAACATGCTCCTAGGCCGCATCAAAGCATATGGCAAAACAAACGGATGAAAGATTGCATACCATAGTCAGATTGAGGCACTCACGGCTCGGATAGCCCAACTCGCGCATACAATGGATGAGTTGCGCAACAATGGAGGCCCAAGCAATAATGGTGAGGGTGGGTGACACAAGCCAAGATCAAACTAGCAAGACTACAGCCTTTGACAAGATTTACCAAAATGCAAGTCCCTAGATTTCAAAGAGGTGATATTCTTGGGTGGCTTATGAGATGTGAGCACTATCTTTAGATAGATGCCACCCTTAAAGCATGGAACGTCATGATAGCCAGCATCCACTTGGATGAGAAGGCCTTCCAATGGCATCAAGCCTTAGTGCATGTGAGAAGAGGAAGAGTGATAGGATGGGAGGAATATGTAGAAACTATCAAGAAAAGATTTGGACCTACCTATGGGGCACCCACAGCAGAGCTTATGCGTCTTCAAAAACAGGGACTCTCGGAGACTACAATACAGCTTTTGATGCAACCGTGTCAAATTGACCTAACAGAGGATCATATGGTGTAGACCATCTCGAAGGCTTACGAGAAAGGTTTACTAGACCTGATCATTTACTAAAGCCAACAACCATCAAGGATGCTCGACTTCTTGCCAGATTGCAAGACATACATTTGTCAAAGGCATTCAATGAAAACAAAGGTCTCGATGAAGGTAAGGGAGATAAATTGTCTTGGGCTGGTCCTCTGGGTCCTTCTCCACACACATCACAGGAAAACTTGGTAGCCGGAGAAAGTGGACACAATTTCATTAAGTGCACAATTGTCTTTTTGCACAAGTCCCACTCTATTTCTTCAAAATGAGGTTCTATCTCCTCCGTTCCTTCATCTTCAGCAACTCTTCGTTCAACAACTCACGCAAAAGTCACAAAAATGCTGAACCTAAAGAGGTTGATGATCTTAGGTGAAAGAATCTTGGTTTTTATTGCCACGAGCCCTTCTCCTGAGGCCACAAATGTTCACCAAATCAACAGATGTAGATCCAACTTATTGAGCTTCAACCAGATGCTGTAGAAGAAATTATAGATATTGAGAAACGGTTAGAAAAATAGGGATGTTTGGTGCAGGGAAAGTGTCCTCTCCATAAGCGGGTTCTACTTTTTCCCCCCAGTTGTCACGTCAGTTTTAGGGGTCAATTGTACAACCCTTGAGGACAAGGGTTTTTTCGAGGGGAGGGTATTGATATGAAGAGAAATAAATAAATAATGATTAAAGAGTTTTAGTTAGTTAGGGAGTTTGTCAAGATTTGCTATAAGGGTCTATATATAAGGTCCCAAGTGTAGTTAGATATTATGCTTAATGAAAAAAAAAAACCTTGAAATATTTCCGTCTCTCAATCTCTATTTCTCTATCTTCTTTCTCTGCTTCTATTATGTTTCTTTCTCTCTCTTCTCCATCTTCTATTTCTATTCTTTTTCTCTCGTCCCTTCTACCATATCAGAGTCTATCTTCTCTATCTTCTATTTCTATTCTTTTCTCTCATCTCATCTACCATATCAGCATCATTAAAGCCATGGCTTTGATTATTACAACAACAACAACAACAAGCCTTTATCCCACTAGGTGGGGTCGGCTACATGGATTGTAAGACGCCATTGTGCTCTATCATTTATTAAGCTTTTAGGAATATTATTAATTAAGAGATCGCGTTCAACAACTTCCAAAAGTATTCTCTTAGGCCTTCCTCTACCCCTCTTAATCGGGCTCAAAGTTATATGTTCCACTCTTCTCACTGGTGCCTCCCGTGATCTTCTTTGTACATGCCTACCATCTCAACTGATTTTCTACCATTTTTTTCTTAACAGGTGCTACCCACACTTTTTCGCGTACGTGCACATTTCGAATTTTATCTTTACATGTATGTGCACACATCCATCATAACATTCTCATCTCTGTTACTCCAACTTTATACTCTTGTTGTCTCGTTAGAGCCCAGCATTCACTACTATATAACATGGCCAGTCTGATAGCAGTATGATAAAACTTTCCTTTAAGTTTATTAGGCACCTTACGGTCGCAAATAACTCCTTTAGCTTTTCTCCAATTAAACCACCCAACTTGAATCCCATGTGAAATATCCCCACTAATTTCATCATCATTTTGAATAATGGCTCCCAAATATCTAAACTTTTCCACTTGGGGTATAATTTGATCTCCCAATTTCACTTCCAAATTACTGTCCACTAGTCTCTTACCAAATTTACAATATAAATATTCTGTCTTACTCCTACTCAAACAGAAACCTTTCGACTCCAATGTCCTCCTCCATAACTCAAGTTTGCAATTAACCTCTTCCCTTGTCTCTGCTATAACATGGCTTTGATTATTAATAATTAATATTTTTCTTCAAAATGCTCAGAACTCCTTATGCAAAGATTCAATTAGTTGTTTTGATTCTACTACTTTTCTAATTTATTCTTTAGTTTAGGTGTGCATAAGTAGGGACAGTCAAGCAACATCCTAGACAATCAGATCCCGGTACTTAAAGAATTAATTGGGTAGCCAACTAACATCATCTTTATCCAAGATAAGTTTAAAAAATAAGGAGCAACAAATGCATAATAGATAGTAACAGAAATCAGGAATCTTATAGAACCATATATCATCAATTATAATAATAAAGACTAGATCACAAGTGGAGACAAAATCTTAGAAATCAAAGCCAACAAATCCCTACACTTATTGTTCATTCATACACGTTATTTTTTTCCACCAAGTTGAGCACTTCATTGAGGCAAATGCTCTCATTCTTCTCACAATCCTTGCCATACACACAGTACAAGTTTAGTTAATTGCTTCCCTAACATCATTCAGAAAGCGAAAGAGACCAAAGCGATTAGAACAATAGAGGAAAAGCATACCTGTAGTGCCTCAGCATCAGTAGTCATCAAATTGGTTATTTTTCCAGATGCAAATTGCTTTCGGGCTTCATGAGTAAGTCTTAAAGATTTGCGAAACACAGCTGCCACCTACAATTAAAAAAAATAACAGAAATAAACAGCAATGCACATATCATGTTTTAAATAGATAAACCATCACTACAACTCAACGCAAAGGAATTATTAGATCTAATAAATTAATTCACAACAATGATATATTTGTTGATCGACCCTGAATTTGCCCACATTCTAAGGATTATTTAACCTGATTTCCAGAGATAAAAGGGTTATTTTACATGGCATGACAGAGAAGAAATGTATGAACTTGAAATTTAACAATAGAAATAGGAAAGGAATGCATTTGATATGCATCAAATTGAAACAGTTGGAAAAGGGGCCAGATACTTCGAAGCACTCTAGTTCCTACTCAACAATTCTCGATGGAACCCATTTATGAGGGGCCATATTGCAGTCAGATCAAAGCATCCAACATTTGTAAAAGCTACACTAAATCAAACGGGAAAAAGTCCTGCTGAAAATGTTAAAATTAGGGAAAATAGCAATCAAGGACCACTGGAGGAAATTTATATTAGTCAAAAACTAGTTGTTGTCAAAACCCGAATGGAAAACAAGCCCGAATAGACTGTTGTTTGCTTAAAATAAGTTGTTAAAACTTGAACGGATACTTGTTGATAAAAGACTAACCCGAATCAACAAATATTCATTCGAGTTTTGACAACAAGTAATCCTTGACTAATATAAATTTCCTCCAATAGTCCTTGATTGATATTTTCCATTAAAATTATCACTTGATGAGAGAAAGAGGGTTTTCAACTGAAAAACAAAAATAGAGCCTAGAAGATAACAAAAAAACATAGCCATCTAAAAAACAGTTCAATATCATGACCTCTAAGCCTAAAACCCCAATATCATATAATTAGTTTAACCCTGACTTTCATCCATACATAAAAAGCCCTGACTTTTTACATGCATCAAAAGCCACTATGATGCGTTGCACCAAGGCCTAAAAGCCACAGCTCAGACATCCTAAAACAAGATTCCTAGACAAAGCACCAAGATCAACTTTGAGCAGTAGACACGAAAGACATGAATGCTACTGATGTTTTTGACAAGGGCAAGCTGTTGTATAATCATAGATTCATAATAAACATAAGTGACAGGTAACCACATTATAAAATTAGCCAGTTAGGTACTAAGACTATAAATAGATTCATAATAAACAGATCATGATATTGAGTATAAAGTGCATTATTCAGTGCATATAACATTTCTCTCGATCTCTCCCTGTTCTTTTCTCTTCTCTCCCTCTCCTCTCCCCCCCCCCGGGGGAAATATAAACATCCCTAAGTGGTATCGAGAGCCAGGCTATCCTCTGCAACATGGATACAAAAACAATGTATGATATTCAACAATCTCTAATCCAGATATCCAAACAAACGACCAGTGTATGAGTTCATTAGAAGCTAGTAGAGAGGGCGTAGGGCATCCAAGAATTGTAAAAGAAGGCCAAACATTGATTAAACAGTATAGTAGCATGGTTGAATAAAATATTGGTTTCAATAGCACCACCAACAAGCACCAGCTATCCGAAGACTATCTTGTCAATGCATACATATTGGGTCTTAGGGAAGAACTTAAGGATATAGTGCAGCTATTCAAACCTGTTAAACTACTGGAAGCAAGAAGACTAGCTAAAATCTGAGAAATTGTCTAGGAGATGGATGGAAGAATGGTGCGGCTATTCAAACCTGTTAAACTACTGGAGGCAAGACTAGCTAAAATCTGAGAAATTGTCTCGGACATGGATGGAAGAAAGACGCCTCTATAATGTTGGGAGATCCAGAAAGCCAAGAATTACCTTAGGAACAGTGGGATCCCAAAAATATGACAAGTGAAGTTGGGTCTTCCCTGCTATCAACCCAAGAATTGTTTGCCAACCCGAAGATCTTGTAAGAAAAAATACCAACTTCTAACTTTCAGAATTGTGCTAAATGGTACCAAGTATCATTTTTTGATTACAAAGCAACTTGAGACGTGGTGATTGCAATGGGATAGCTTTGCATGGGTTTAAAGTCAGAAGGACAGTAATATTTAAGGGCCTTAACATTGATCCTATAAAGATTGTGCTCTTGTTTGAGTAAATTGGCTTAGTAACATTGGCTCCAATTCAAGAAAGTAAATGGGATGGTGGCCGACCATAGATGTTTTGTACAGGGTCAAACTACTTACAGGTCCATACCAATTTAGCCATTCAAACTTCAGCCTGCAGATTTAGTTTTATCCCATATGACGTTATGTGTTGAATTCTCTGTTTGGGTTAAGAGTTGTCCCTTGAGGTAATTGAACTTTGAGGACAAGGAAATCTTGGGAGGGGGCATTGATGTGCAATCATAATAAGCATAAGTGACAGGAAAGAGGTTATAAAGTTAGATATTAAGAATATTAGACAGTTACTTGCAAATCAGATTATGAGAAACAGTGCATTATTCAGTGCATCTAAGATCTAACTTTCATCTCAATCTCTCCCTGTTTTTCTCTCTTCTATCCCCCCTCTCTTCTATTTCACTCTCTTCTCTCTTATGTCCGCATTATAAACATCCACCACTAGCCGACAAAGATTAGGATTTCTTTTTGTTGCTTTTAGTTTGATATTTTTGACATGCCTTCTTTTCTTTTAGATTTAGTAGGTATCAGGCCAAGCATATCCCGAACAACTCAAAAGTTGCCCATAAAGCCCCATAGAAGGAACACCAAAATGTATTCCAAATTTATAGAAGGAACCAAAAAAAAAAAAAAAAAAGGCAACCAAAAAATAATTCTCATCTCTCCAAAGCAAGAATAATAGTCCAAAACAAAACTGCGATGATCATTAACCAAATTTTTTATGTTAAGCATGTCAAGTATGCCATTTATAAGTTGGGACACTAATTTCATTTTTGAGCTAACATTTTCTTCTGAATTTATATAGCTTCTTTTCCTTTTTTGTGAATGGCAGACCTGCTACATGTGATCTCCTATATATATATATATGCAGATTCTACCATCCCATAGAATTAAATCAAAATCTTCATTTCTCAAGGTTTCAATGGACAGAAACTGTTTTCTTTCGAAACAAGGAAAAAATTTAATTAAACCCAAGAATGGAATTACCAAAGTTGATCTAAGCTGAAAACCAATGCGCATGACATTCTGAAAATATTGAGCTTCACATAAAACTCCAAAAACCTGCAAGAAAGAAATTTAGAAACTCAATCAATGTTCCATAGGTTCCAATAACATTATAATATGAAGTAGAATAAAACCAAAGACATCAACATAACAAATAATTTACCAGCCACTTGTCTTTTTTCCACCAATCTTAAGATTAATATCAATATAATAAGCACACGCCAATATAAGTAGTTTAAAATTAAGGAAAAAACTTAGACAAAATACAAAAGCGAGCAACAATTCACAGCTTTCTTTTAGCACCAGCTTCTTTCACTAACACCTTTAAGATATTTCAGATCTTCTTATATCTCTCTATTCAAAAATTTTAGTTGATATTGCAATTCCTAATTTAGTGCAATTTGAGATTATCCTTATAAAAGCCTAAATCCCTAATTATGTAAGGCACCTTCTTTTTAATCAACAAGAATTTTCTCTATTGCAATTCCTAATTTAGTGCAATTTGACATTATCCTTATAAAAGCCTAAATCCCTAATTATGTAAGGCAAATTCTTTTCAATCAATAAGAATTTTCTATTCACCGAAAGAGAATTTATGACTCTCTGCATAAAATTTTGTGCAGTATCAAAGCCATGAGATAACAGTCCCTCTCAAAATGGACATTCGTGGCTTTGACCAATCTTTTATCTTTGCCAATCTTTTAGTCTTGCAACGTCTTTTCTTTCAAATTCATCAGTCTATTCTTCCCCTCAAATTGTAGCAAGGGTAATGACTTTGGGCATCCTTTCCACAATTTTGGCTTTTCACTAACCATTAACATTTTCCCCCGGCTAACCACCAACACAGAAATATGCTCACTGTTTACGGATGGTATTTTAACTCTAACCACCAACATATGGTTTTACACAGACCACTAAATGATGGCTTTTCTTTTTTCCCTTTTCCTTTATGCTAACTACCAATACATGACTTTCTTATTATTTTCTTAATCCGTAACTGGTTCTCTATCTGTAAGGTAAACTTGGACTTCTAGAATGTTTTGCCGATCTAAACTATGATTTCAGTTTTATTGTTCGGTACTACAGTATCCTTTTACAGATATGTGCAGAAGTTTTAGTTTTGTTAGTACATGCAATGCCTTAAGTTTTGCCGACTCATTTAGAGACTTAAGCTTTGCTGATCCATACAACTTCAGCTTTTCAATCTGTATCGGCAACATCATGAGAGGCTCTAGCCTTCTTCATGTGGGTAAACATAGCTTCTCCAAATTAGGTAAGACAACCAACATAAACCATGAAGGTGATGAACCATGCACTAAGTCTGTTTAATCATCCTTGTTTTTATTAAGTAAAAAATGAAAGCAACATTAACAAAACATAGATCGTATTTAAACCAAAAACCTAAATTTTACCCAGATCAAAGTAGTATACCTCCATCCTAATTAAAACAAATACTCGTTGCAATTCTAAATGAATACGAACAATATACAAAAAGCAACTAAAAGAACTAATTAAAAACAACAACAAAAAAATAATTATTCACAACAGGTATCAAGTTGATAACACCCTAGCAAAAGCCTCAACTCAAATTAGGCTTTGAAGAACTTAGTAGCAGATGTAATATCGTACCACTCCAACAAATATTGAGAAGCCATACACATAGCCAATTGACGCCTGGTCACCTCTTTGCATAGACTGCAATTAAATTCATGAGACAAATTCAGTAAAACATTTTGAAAATTGTCATTTAAATGAATAATTATATGTTTACAAACATTACAAGCAGGTCATCATAAAGCTGAATAAGCACAAGCAATTCCCATTTACTAAAACATAAAATAATTCTAAAGAAGTTCTATATACTAAAGAATATTGAAGGGAAAATAACCAAAATCTCAGATTCAATTCTCATTTCTAAGAGGAGCCAAGGGCAGTAAATGTAGAACATTATTTGGGAAAACCAATGATTAGGGGGGCCATTTCCATTCTTACTCTTTTTAGGATTCATTTCAGAATGAGTTTGCAGACATTAGCTATTTTTTGAGTTATGGAATTTGTACTTCTGATTCATGCTATTTGTCTCAATTTTATTACCACACATTATGCTCTTTCAGTGTTTGTGCCATGCTTTAACTTCATAAAGAAAATTCTATATGAGCTACATTCACCTTTTGTAGAAATTGTTCTTATAAATAGCTTTTGCATTTTAGGTTGAATGTTATTCATTCTCATGGAGTTGCTTGCATAATTCTTTTGTTCTTCCTATATTTTTGGAGCTTTCCAATCACTTTTGCTTGGCGTTGACAAAGGGCAAAATTAACAAAGAAAAATGGATGTCACTACTTGAGTGTCTCGTGGGGGGGGGGCTAGATTGAAGCATGCAAAGAACAGCAACAAAGCTCCCAGTAACCTACAGCAGAAAGCATCATAACGAGAGAAGGTTGAACATTCTCTAATACAATCTGATTTTGAGATCTTAGAAACAATTTCTGCAGCTTGTTTTGAAATTTCTGAGGGTGTTAGACTAGTGATTTGGAGGATCTGAGAATTCAAGAAGGAAAAAAAACTTGTCGTTTTATCAAGAGATCCATGATGTCAAGGTTAAGAAAGCTCTTAAGAAAATGATAAATGGCATAGCCATTAGACCTGATGGTATTGCTATTGAGGCGTGAAAATGTTTAGGCAAAAAAAAGATGTCATGGTTAACTAGGCTAGTTAATGATATTTTAAGGTCCAAGAAAATGCCTGAATAGTGGAGAACTTTAATTCCTATTTACAAGAATAAAAGGGATATCAAGAATTGTGCAAACTATAGGATTATAAGAAAGAGTGTTTAAATGCAGGCTGAAAATGAAGACTAGTATTTTTGAAAACCAATTTGGATGTATGCCAGGAAGGCCTACAATAGAGACAATTTATTTCCTAAAGGGGTTAATGGAAAAATACATCAACAACCTCTTCTTTCTCATTATCTTCTCCTACTATTTCAAATTCATCGTCCAAAGCTTCTTCTTCTAACTCTTCCTTGCTAGTCTTTTCAAGCCTCTTTTCCTTCTTCTTCGAAACTATAATAGGAGTTTCAACAAGCTGACAACCCCACGACTTGTTTCCTTTAGAAGGTCAAGCACATACTTCCTCTGAGATACATAGATACCTTGCTCTGACCTTAAAGCTTCAATTCACAAAAAATATTTCAAGTTCCCAAGATACTTGACTTCACATTCTTTTCCAAGAGCAGTATTTACACTTGCTATTTCCTCAATATGGTCTCCTGTAAGAATTATATCATCAACATACACAATAAGGATGCCTCTCTTACACACTTCAATTTTGACAAACATTGTATGATCTGACAATCCCCATTTGAAGCCTTCTAGCTTTAGAACTCTTGAAAACCTATCAAACCACGCCTAAGAGACTACTTTAAGCCATATAGAGATTTCTTCAACCTACTCACTTGACCACTTCCGTCTTTATCAAATCCTAGAGATAAGGTCATATATACTTCTTGTTTTAATTCTCCATTTAGGAAGACATTCTTAATATCCAATTGATGAAGTGGACATTCTAGCTTTGCTAACACAGATAATAGAACTATGATGTTTTTCAATTTCCCTAGTGGCGCAAAAGTTTCTTTTTAGTCAAGACCATATGTTTGAATAAACCCTCTTGCAACTAGTTGAGCTTTTAACTTGTCAAGAGAGTCATCGGCCTTATATTTTGGGGCACGAGCCCACTTGAAAATTACAAGTTTTGTGCCCTTAACATCCAATTGATGAAGTGGACATTCTAGCTTTGCTAACACAATAATAGAAGTATGATGTTTTTCAATTTCCCTAGTGGCGCAAAAATTTCTTTTTAGTCAAGACCATATGTTTGAGTAAACCCTCTTGCAACTAGTTGAGCTTTTAACTTGTCAAGAGAGTCATCGGCCTTATATTTTAGGGTACAAGCCCACTCTAAAATTACAAGTTTTGTGCCCTTAGGCCTTTCAACAATCTCCCATCTTTCATTCTTCTTCAAAGCCCTGATCTCCTCCATAACAGCATTTCTCCATTCTGGTATTTTCAATGCCTCTTTGATGTTGTTGGAAATAACAACTTTACCTACATTAGTGACAAATGCACAATAACTCGAAGAGAAAGCTTTGAAGGGCATATGCTTCTGAATTGGATGCAAAGTGCAAGAATGAGGTTGTTCTCCGAAAGCAATGGGTAAATAAACTTCAAATTGATCACACAACTATTCAAGAATTTGTTGAGATGGTTCAGGAGTAGATTCTTCAAGAGGTTCTAACTCCTCTAGTGCTTTAGTTACAAAGTTCTCTCCTTCCATAGATTTATGCCTTCGTGAGCAAACCAACAAATCTTTGTCTTTCTGCTTCTCTACATCTCCCCCTGCTTTTGAGTTTTCTTCTGTGATTGGCAAAAGAAATGGCGATGCCAAAGGAGAAATAGATGTAGAACATGAGAGCGATGGTTCTAGTAATTGTGGTGTAATGGTTCTATTGGTGTAAACCAAGAATCAAGGGGCACCCATTTTCTGTTAGTTTCTTGTTCATAAGTCTAAGATTCACCTATACTCTCCCCCCAAATTAAAGAATTGGGATAGAAAGGAGTGTCTTCACGAAGCATAATATCAAAGCTTACAAATGTGTGTTTGGAAATAAGATCAAAGAATTTGCATCCCTTTTGAGTGAGAAAATATCCAAGAAATAGGCATTGGGTAGCACAAGATCCAAGTTTACTGCTTAAGTGGATATGGACAAAGGCTTTGCATCCAAACACACAAAGTGTAAGATTGGTTTCAATACAAGATGTGGAAAAAACACTTTGGAATTTTTGGAGAAGAGTGTCCAAAGATAATATGTGACTAGCATTTGATCGATGTGGCAGGTTGTGATCAAAATGGCATCCCCTAGTAAAACTTTGGGACATTGGAAGTAAACATAAGTGCTTTAGGATAAGTTATTGAAAGAGACCTTTAAGTTAACAATATATCAAAAAATTTTATTGTTAATCGATCATAACAACATCGTGCAATCTATATAATTGACCTCACCTAATGAGATAAGGCTTCTTGCTGCTATTGCTATTGTTGTTTTGAAATTTGCATTCTTAGTTTGTCATCAATCAAAAACAAAGATTATTATTCAACATGCTCCATTGTTATCTATAAAAACATCCCTAACCACTTGCAATGCCCAGACTTAGAGGCATAAAAAGCTCTCATTTCAAGTTTTAACCCATTCCCACCTAATTAACAACAAAGAACTGCAGTAACCTATAAATTAATACAAACATTTTGACCTTTGGTGGAAGTATTTAAACATCTTTAGCCAGGAAAAATGACAGCTAACTAAAAATATAAACTTTTTCATCTTTCTTTACAAAGAATAAGATGTACATTAGTAGTTGCAGCTAGAACTACAAAACCATATATAAAAAATCATACTACTTTCTTAAATAGATATTGAATGACATTTCAACCTGATGAAAATTTGAATGAACATGAGGATATAACATGCAAACAAAAGAAGCAACAATGAAAAGTTAAACCAAGGAAATAAAAGGATCAATGACCCAATTACTGATGGAATTAGTATAAAAGCAACTAACCTGCAGTAGCATGTTCAATATAAGAGGCCCTAGAAATTGGGAAACATCATAGCCAATCTACAAGTTGTCAATAGAAGTACAACATGTTAGAAGAAGGTTTCCAATTCAATATCTTAGCTATATGTAGCTAAAGTTCCAAATCTTCAAAGAAATAAATTTTCCATAATTCTTACCGAACAACAAAAAACAAAATCAGTTTAGGTCCAAACAAAATAACTTTGATTAAGAGCTCATTTGGAAATTAGTTTTGGTGTGTTCGTCAATGACTTGCTCTTTCATTTATTGTAAATTTTAAATCAGAGGACAAAAGATGATAGCTGAGCCCTAGACTAATTAACTTTAAAAAAATAATAATAACAACCTAGTCTTTATTTAATTATCTTCTTTTTTCTTTCCATAGTTGAAATCTAACATCACTTCGAAAAGGTTATGCAATCAACTAAAGTCAAATAGCGGCCCCATAACATGATGATAGCAAATATTTATATATATATCGTTACCTTCCAAAAGCCTCCACACCAAAACCTACAAGAAGAAAAATTAAAATGAGAGTGGCAAAATTCATAAAAACATGGGAGGTGTAATATCTCGAAATTTAAAATAAAATTTAATTAAAGGTTAAGTCAATTAATCTAGGTTCTAATTGGATTAATTAGCTTGATTGGATGGCCAAGGTCCTTTAGACACTATAGAAGCTTAGAAGGGGACTAGAGGAGCCATTAGGCTACTTTGGACCTAAATTAATGGGCTTAAGTTAGGGTTCCCAAACTATGCAATTCACCGTGACGAATAGCGCCATGCGCCGCGATGAATGTTTCGGATTTTAAAATCCAAGAGATGCAATTCTGTTTTAAAAATTAGAGAGAAAATGAGAGAGAAGCCGAGAAGGAGAATGGAACTCTACTAGAGTTCATGTTAGGCACCTATTAGAGGCTAGTTTGAGCTTCTAAATTACCGAGTAAGCTTCCTTTTCTCTTCTCCTACCTCTCTTATGCGTTTTCAAGATTTCTAGACATGGGAGTTGTTGTTCGGATTGGTAGCTAAGTTTTAGCCATTTTAATGACTCTAATAGAGTCTAAGGATGTTGTTTTATGTTTCAAGATGTTGATTTAAGCTAAGCTCAGTGTTTAAGAGTAGTAAAGGGGGGTTTAAGGTTAGCCCTAGCACTAATTAATTAAGTTTAAGCTACTACAATGGTTTAACAATTGAGTTTAAAGAAGGTTATATAAGTTAATGGAAGTGAGAAATGGGAATGACTTTGGTGAATCACACTTAAGGAGGGATTAAGGCCTCAACAGTGATTAAGGTTAATTAATGACAATTGATTATTAATGCTATTTATTAATCATTAATTGTAGATTGATGGTTCTCAGAACTTGTGACTGTAGAAAGCTCTCTCAAAAATCCAAATTATACTTAGGGTAAGTTATGGCATGAGGCATGTGGCAATGAATTGAGCATGATAACTTGCGTAGAAGAGTTGAGGTTATGAGCTGTAGTTCTTGAATGTGTTGGAATGAAATTAATGATTGGTAATATCATGTGTTATATGATAGTATAAGTATGGATTGAGCAGCATGGTATTGGGCATATGATGTTTTGAGTAATGTAAGCATACGGTTGTGTTGAATTTAATTGAGAAAGCATGAGTATGATTATGTTGTTGCCTTGATGGTTGATCCCCTTAAGTTAAGTTATCATTGTTGGGAGTATGTGTCTTATGATTATATGAACATGAGTTGAGGAGTTTGAATTGAGTATGTATTGAAGATTTGATGATTAATGCATGCAAGTTCATGAATTATCGAATTATTTAAATATGAGACTACCTATACATATGACTATTGAACTTGCATGATCATGAATGGGTGGAAGATCACCAAGAGATAGTAAAAGGGTATTATAGGAAAATCTACGTCGCATAATCTCCACTAAGTTTGCACGCAGTGGTTGGCATAATCATTAAATAATGTGCTTAGTATTGCCATAAACCAACGAGTACAGCATGGGTCTAGCATGATGCTAAGTATCACCGGATCCTATAGGGGGATGGTATGGGTAAGGCAATTATGACACCCTGCAATTCGAGAAGGGGGAATTCATAATCTGAGAGTGGGTGTGGAAACCTTTGGCTGGGTGCCCCTCACAATTGGAGAGCGAGGCTAGCCCAGTCACATGAACTGGACCTATATGAGTTAGTAGATCATGGATTCAATCAGATGATATAAGAAGAGGAATAAGGTAGTTACATTTGATCATACGAATTATTTCTTAGTAATGCATTCTTGTTAGCATGAGAGTTGTCATTTGTGAAATTGTGCTTGCTTGTTGTGAATGCTACATTTTAATATGCTTTAATTGAATTGCTTGGTTGCTGAGATTGCACACTCTCACTCCTGCTTGTTAATACTTTTCTAGTTGTCAAGAGTAAGGGAAAAGGAGAGGTAGCCCCACATTGTAAAGTCTCTAGCTTATCTTTTATGTACTTTGAATACTTAATTGCCAATATTAAGGGTTGTATTTGTTTAATTATTTATCATTTGCATGAGCCCATCATTGACTTGGACAAGTTTTCTCTTGTGATTGAGGCCAAGTAAGGAAATGTGTGATTTTTTACTACTAATCAATTGTAACAGCACAAGGAGTAGTTATGCATGACTAGTATGCTTATTGGTGTATGTTAGTTGTGGTTGTGGTGGCTAGTGGCTTCTGAATTTTAAATAGTCAAGGTTAATCCATATGTATGTAATAACATATAATTACCCTTAAATAAGAATGTATGTCAATTTTAGTTGGACTCAAAAAAAATACTAATCATGTAGTTCGTGAGCCCATATGTCATTCTCTATGGACAAAAATCCAGGGAAGATATCAACTAAACATGACTAACCACTATTGAAGTTTGAACAACCATACCATATAGGTTTAGTTTAAGCATTCTATATTAACAAGACTAGAATAATTGATGGGTACTTGAGTAAGATGGGCAATCCTCCCTAAAAGCTAGCTATTGAGGAAGAAAACCAACCAATTTAAACATCCCATTTAGCATTCCATATTATTCCATGTGTGACATGAGTATTCCATGCTACTTGAGTCTCCATCAATTGGTCCCATTCACAAAGCCAACATCCTGATTGCCATGTTCTATGACACTTCACTTGACTTTCTTGTCAATTAGAACCCATCACCAATCAACTTTCTGTAAGCAGCCCTCTCCAATACCAACCTCTAATAATACCAATTGATGGATACTAACATGAACTATGAAATGGGAAACCCTCCCACAAAAACTAGCTACTAAGGAGGAAAGCCAACCTAATTAAATACCACATTGAGCATCCCATACTAATCAATGCGAGACTCAGTATCCCATACTACCTAAGTGTCCATCAGTTATCCTTCTTTGAAAATTGTTTTAAATATTTTAGTTTAGAGAGGTTTTACACTTACCTACTTGAGAGCTTGGGTTTCCCCCTTTTATTATCTACAAATGGGACATTGTTTTCAATCAATAAAATTAAATTCAAAAGATCGTTAGATCTTGAATTTCCAAAAGATCTATAGTAATATTGATTCAGTCAACTGGAAAGAAATAAACATGATATTGCACATGCATTTCCAGAACTTTGGGTTCATGGTGAGAAGAAATTCAATCAAGAACTAAAGTTTATGGAAAACAAAGTTAACAGCCAAGAGTAAGGAAATCATTGATGCGAATAATACAAGAAAGAAAGCCAATAAAGACAATATTTCCAACCCTTATTGTCCCATTAATCAATTTTCAAACAGACTTATGGCCTAAAAGCAAACTCAATAGAGTATCTTCAATAATTTTGATCTTTTATTATTAGCCAAACAAGCAGAAGGAAAAAATTTTCAAATTTGGATCAATCTTGGATGGTATACACAAGTTTAGTCATTTCAAGTTGATCCTCCAAGGTCCAGACTCAATTTAACACAGATATTGAGGGTTGATGATGCTAGAGAATACTTGAGCTCTACTAGTCAAACATTTTCAAAACCCACAGGATACACCATCAAACCCCTTGCGTTTTTACCCCTCAACAAAATGAGGTTGTTGAAAGGAAGAATAGGCACCATCTAGAAGTTGCCCTTTATGATGATAAGCAGCAATGTATCATTGTTTCTATTAGGGAGATGCTAATCTTTCTTCAACTTACCTGATAAATATAATGCCCTCTAAAGTCCTACAATTTTCTACTCCCTTACAAAATTCCTTAAATCTTACCCCAATTCTCATGTTTCTACTATAACTCAAAAGGTTCACGGCTGCACCTTATTTGTTCACAATCAAGGCAGTGGGAAATTATGACCCAGCAATGAAATGCATTTTCTTGGCATATTAACCCACCTAGTGGGATAAAGGCTTGTTGTTGTTGTTGTTGTTGTTGTTGTATTAACCCAACCAAAAGGGATACAAGTGCCACTATCCTGATTCTCATAAAGTTTATATCACCATGATGGAGTTGGTGTTGGTGGATTTTTACTTGATGAAGTTGGTTGCATATATTATTTTCTTTTCTTTAATCAAAACTCTACTAGGAAAGAAAACTAAAGTGGATCCCATGATCTACAAATCCTTAGCCTACCTTCCTCCTAGGCTACTATTTAATGCTCTTAATAGCCATGGTCTAGACTTCCGAGATTCCTCATTCCAACACCTTTGGAACCTACAAAGTCAAAAGGCACAACTTCCAATTAAAATGCAATAATGACATAGAAATCAATTTGAAGAAGAGCAAAAGCATACTTGTTGTTCAAAGTCTCAGTCCGATCCCATGTATCCAATTTCCATACATCTTTATCAGTAAGTGGTCTTTGATATCCTAGCTTCATTATAGGATTCATCCAAGCAAAAGTTATTTCTGCCAAAACAAAATGATGAAATTGCAATGGCTTATGAAAGCAACTTATTTAGAAAATGATTATCTCTTAAGAAAATGTTATACTCACCATGAATGTATAAAGTTTCAATGTATAAAAGCAAATTATTTAGCAGCTTATTATCAATGAATTGCTTCAACTACTTATCATATCTCTTGCTTAACAACTGAATTTCACTTATTATAGAGCAAAACAAAGGAATGTTGATCATCATTTTATTTAGTGGCAGCAGCAAATTACATATATAACCCAGCTAGCGTATGGGATAAGTTAAGTAGGGTAAATCAAGTATTAACTCTTATCAAAATGGAATGAGATAAATAATAACTAATGACATTGGATACAAAATATATAAATGACAAATAACTAATGATGACTGAAGACTAGTGCAACTGGCTTGGGCTGTTCAGACTTCCAACAATCCCCCTCTCTCTTGGCATCAATTTTCTACATATATATATATAAGATACTTAATCTTTGGCCCAGAGTACAAATCAATTTTACCTTTTTCAATTTTTTCCCTGATGAAATGTTTATCAATCTTCACATGCTTTGTTCTATCATGATGCACTAGTTCCTAGCCATCACAATGGCCAACTTACTGTCACACCATAATTTTATAGGTGCAATATGCAATAGTCTTAACTCTTTTAGTACTTTAAGGATCCATGTTCCTTCACAAATTACAAGTGCCAGGGCTCTAAGTTCAGCTTCAATACTGCTTCTAGAGACCAATGGTTGCTTCTTACATTGCTAAATTACCAGGTTTCCCCACATAAATGTGGTGCACTTGTGGTAGACCTCCTATCCAGCAATGATCTTTCATGATCTGCATCAGTGTAAATTCCCACACCACTTGACTTTCCTTTTGCAAAGAAAAGTCTTTTTCCATGATTTAATTTCAAACACTTTAATATCCTATAAACCACCTCCATATGCTCTTCTTGGGGCTTGCTCATAATTTGGCCACAACATTCACAAGGAAGCTTGTGAAGATACTGTAATTATAGCACAAATCCTTTTATGTTTATTGGGAGTTATTAGGAGTTATTAGTATTTTTTTTTATTATTACTTTGTTTCTCATCTTGGTGCATGAATGCCCATGTGTATAGCTCTATTCTGAATCAATGAGAAATATATTTTTTCTCCCAAATATTCTACATGGTATCAAAGTTAGGTTGGCTAAATTTTAGGCCTTCTAATCTCCCCAAACATGGCCTTTAACTCTGAACCCAAAATAGTGCTATGGGAGTAAACATACAAGTAAAGCAAGTGAGAGAGTCAAATCTCACCACCTACCTAGGAAGAACCAAAGGCCTCTGATTGGCCAAACACCGTTGTTTCACAGTGAATAGTGGCACGTGTCACTCATACGTACATCTACATGATTCTGCAACTAAGGTAATAGGCACGTGTGAGTGCGTGGAATCTCCATTCCAACAACAAGTGTCTTCTCTAGCAACAATGGGTCATTGCCGGCCTACTATAATTTCTAGCTTGTGGGTATTCCATTTTTGCAGTCAAATTGATGAAATTATGTGCTAGCCTAGTTCCTTGGAATTTGACACGGATTAAAGCCTAGGTTGTGCCCAGGAATGTTGGGGACTCTATGCTCGACATCTTGCTAGTCTTCATTTTCTGTTCCAACATCTTGTTGCTGATCTACTTGTGCATTGATAGAACTAGAATTCTTGACACAATTAGGTGAAAACTTCAATGAGTAACCTCTATTATAGTGGGAAAATGTAGAAATTACAGGCACCAATATGAGACTGTAGAGCAAGAAAAAAAAGAAATGAAACACACACACCACTCCTGACTTTCGAGAGCTCAGGCCCTCTCCCCAAAACTAATCTGCTCCCCCCCCAACCTCCTTACCTGCCATCCCACTATTTACATCTTTCCCCACTACTCTGACTTGTCAGAGGATGTTATCTTGGTCCCCTTCCTATTCTACCCTTCTGTGTCTATTCCTTGTTGGGCTGTTTTGTTGGACTTCCTCTGATACACTCAGCCCCACTTGTTTGGAGGCCCATCATTTCCCCCTCCTTTATGCAGCACCTTGTCCTCAAGGTGGAAGTGAGAAAATTGAGTCTGAACGGTTTGTGCATCTTCCCACGTGTTGTCACATTCCGGCAATTCTTTCCACTTAATTAGAAGTTGTAACCGGCCGTTGGCACTCCACCTGGATTCTTTGACCACTTCCAATTGAACTTGAAGCTCCAGCTCGTTTGTCAGTCCTTGTGGTAAGGGCTAAGCTGTAACAGTGGGTTTGAGGGCCTTTTTCAATTGTGAAACATGGAATACATTGTGTATCTGCGCTGTCTCTGGTAATTCCAGCAGACATGCTACCTTTCCTATCCTTTCAAGGATCTTATAAGGCCCATAAAACCTAGGTGAAAGCTTTTCATTCACCTTCTTAGACAAAGACTTGTACCTATAAGGTTTTATCTTCAAATAAACCAAATTGCCCACTTTAAACTGCACTTCCCCTCGGTGTTTATCTGCTTGATCCTTCATTCTGGTTCTGGCTCTCTCTAATTGATGCTTAAGCTCATCAAGTGTTACATTGCGCTCTTGAATCTGCTCATCCACAGCTTGTACCCTTAAGGTTTGATCTTTCCATTTCAACAAAACTAGGGATCTCTTCCATATAGAGCTGTGAAGGGGGTGGTTCCAGTGGCACTATGGTAGGTAGTGTTATACCAATACTCAGCCCATGGAAGCATTTTGACCCACTTTTTAGGGGTAGTACCAACAAAACATCTCAGATAAGTTTCTATGGTCCGATTTACTACCTCAATTTGACCATCGGTCTCTGGGTGATAAGAAGAGCTATACTTGAGTGTCGTCCTAGCCATCTGAAACAATTCCTTCCAAAATTGGTTGATGAAGACCCTATCTCGATCTAACACAATAAAGTTCGGGAACCCATGCAATTTAATTACTTCCTTTACCATAGTTTCAGCAACCTCCTTAGCAGAATAAGGGTGTGAAAGTGGAATGAAATGGCTACACTTGGTGAGTCTGTCAACCACAACTAACACTGTATCATGCCAGTTACTTTTGGGCATACCTCCTATGAAATCTATGCTGATGTCATCCCATGAGGCTTGAGGCACCGATAATGGCTGCAATAGGCTAGCTGGACTAAGAGCTTCATATTTGTTACGCTGACAAATTTCACATTGAGCCACATATTCTTGAATATCCTTCCTCATCCCTTCCCAATACAAGCTGGCAGCCAAACGTTTATAAGTTCTAAATTGTCCAAAATGTCCCCCCATAGGAGAATCATGAAACTCACGTATTAATTCCCGAATCTTTGGAGAGTTTTTAGGAAGTACCAGTTGTCCCTTATAATAAAGGACCCCTTTTTTTAGGGTATACCCTTGTGGATTTTCCTCGCCTCTTACAAGTTGCTGAATGATCACTTGCAAACGGTTATCCTTTGAAATTTCTTCGATCAAATCTTCGACCATGTCATATTGCCACATCGATATGGCCCTCAACTCCATCTCTGCATCCCTTCGCAACAAGGCATCATCTACCCTATTGTCCTTCCCTGGCTTGTATTGGATCTGAAACTTGTACCCCATTAATTTAGTAACCCATTTCTGTTGATCTGGAGCAACAATATGCTGTTCTAGGAGATACTTGAGGGCCCTCTAATCTGTTTTGATGATAAACGGCCTACTGGACAGATAATGTTGCCACTTTTTGACAGCTAACACGATTGCCATGAGTTCTCATTCATAGACGGAGTTTTGTTGGCATCGGTCTGACAATTTTTGGCTGAAGAAAGCAATTGGACACCCTTTCTGCATCAGCACAGCCCCCACTCCTTTCCCAGACACATCTGCCTCCACCTCAAAGGGTAGACTAAAATCCGGCATTGCTAGCACAGGTAGAGTCAACATTGCTGTCTTGAGATTTTTGAAAGAATCCTAGGCACTCTCATCCCATTTAAATGAATCCTTCTTCAATAACTGAGTTAAAGGCGCTGCAATCTTGTTGTATCCCTTAACAAATTTGAGATAGTAACCCGTAAGGCCTAGGAATCCCCTTAGCGCCCTCAAATTCTTAGGTTTCGGCCACTACTGCATTGCTTTGATTTTTGAAGGATCAGCCTTGACTCCCTCCGTAGAAATGATGTGCCCGAGGTACTCAATCTGGGCCTGCCCGAACACACATGTTTTTAAGTTCACCACAAGTTGGTGTTGCTGGAGTGTCTCTAAGGCTTTCCTCAAGTGTATCTTATGAGATTCCTTGTCTTTACTATACACAAGAATATCATCAAAAAAAGACGAGTACAAACTTCTATAAATATTCTCTAAAAATATCATTCATGAGGGATTGAAAAGTAGAGGGGGCATTCATTAATCCAAATGACATAACCTTAAATTCATAGCGTCTGTCATGGGTGCAGAAGGCTGTCTTCAGTTTTTCTCCTTCTTTGATTCGAATCTGGTGGTACCCAGACTTCAAATCCAATTTGGTAAACACTGTGGCCCCGCCCAACTCGTCCAGAAGCTCATCAATGGCAGGGATGGGGTACTTGTCAGGTACGGTAATGTTATTAAGGGCTCTATAGTCAACGCAAAATCGCCAACTCCCATCCTTCTTCTTCACTAGTAACACTGGACTAGAATATGAACTTGTACTAGGCTGTATAACTCCTGCAATAAGCATCTCCTTGACTAATTTCTCTATCTCTATCTTCTGGGCATGCCCATACCTGTATGGACGAACATTGGCAAGTTGTTCTCCCTCTTTTATTTTAATTTCATGATCCTGCACACGATGTGGGGGTAACTTCTTCATGGGCTCGCACACCAAGGAGAATTCCTGGAGGAGCTTAGCAAGCTCTTCTTCAACCAATATTCGTCCAAGTACGGGTTGGAGAGGCTTCATGGATAACTTAATAAAATACCCAACGCCTTCTTCTTTTATGGCTTTCTTTATCGACTTTAACGATCCTGGGGATTTCGTCAGAGTATGGCCCCTCACAGGCATACCCACTATTTTCCTACTCTATTTTCATATATAACTAGCACCAGTTCATCCGCATCTCTCCCAAGGACTCTAACCAGTCAACCCCCAACACAAAATCGACATTTAAGGTCAGAAAATACTCATCTACCACCCCCCACCATGACCGCATATTGCTTTACCACCTGGGTAGGAATCTGCAACGCGTCAACTAGAATCACAGCCACAAAGTTATGTGTGGCCCCACAGTCGATTAATATGGTGACGTCTCACCCAAACGCTGTTTTCTTCATCTTTAGCATCCTTTTCCCTGTCAACCTAACTACTGTAGTCATGGATAATTCCATCGAAGCCAAATCCCCATCCTCATTCAGTTTTTCAAACTCACTGGACCCGTTTTCTCCACATGGGCCCTCGTCTTCCTCCTCAAGTATAATAAGCCTAAGTTGCTTATTTTTGCACTTATGATTTGGGCTAAATTTCTCCTCGCACTTGAAGCAGAGGTCCAACTCACATCGCAGTTAATCTCAGCCTCCAACAGTCGCCTTCAGGGTGCAACACTTCCACTGCTACTCGTTGTCGATGTAATTGGGTAAGTGGTTTTGGTGGCCTCTGTTCTTGGGTTATCACTGCTCTTTTACCCTGGACTCTTCACAGCCGAGGGAGCCGCCACATTTTTTAAGCTCTCAGTATTGGCAAGTTTGGGCGGTGATATTTTAAAATCACTCTAGCGACTCCCCACATTCGACTTTGCTGCTTTACTTCGCCTTTCCTCCATTACTTTTTTCTCTTACTTTGTTCCGATCCTCCACTTAAGCAGCATAAATCCACGAGCTCCTTCAAATCCCTGGGGTGCATTAGTCAAACATCTGCTTGAATCTCCCCATTTATCCCATTCAAGAAAGCACCCATTAGCATTTCATTGGGCACTTCATTTAGCAGGGCTGAAAGGAGTTCAAACTGCTCTCGAAACTCCAACACTGTACCTTCTTGCTTCAAGGCTAATAGCCGCTCATGCTCCCCTCCTAACTGCTTACAATGAAAATGGTCTGTAACCTCCTTCTTGAATCCTTGCCATGATCTCACTAGTGTTCTGGTCTCTAACCATGGAAACCAGGCAAGAGCCTTCCCTTCCAAGCTTACCACGGCCGCGTCAAGCTTCTCATTCTCCCCAACCCCATTCACCGTGAAATACCGTCCCTAAACAACCATCCAAGTTGATCCTCCCCATCAAACAAAGGAAGCTCTAGTCGACGATGCTTAACTCCCTCGCTCTGTCCGGTCCCTTCATTCCTAGTCTCTGGAATATTGTTCTGTCCAGTCCCCACCTCATGGTTCTCTGGCGCCAGCAGCGGCGGCAAATAAGCCCAAAGGTGGTTTGAAAGTCATTGAGCTGCCGTAATATCTCCACTACCAATGTTTCCACACTGGTTAGTTTCTCAGTTGTCTCTCCTTATCATCTCTGCACCTCCTCAATCGATCGCTCTAGTTGTTCAACTCTACCTTCCATTCTAGTGTTGACCATTCCCTAGAACAACCTGCTCTGATACCAATTTGATAGAACTAGAATTCTTGACGCAATTAGGTGAAAACTTCAATGAGTAACCTCTATTACAATGGGAAAATGTAGAGATTACAGGCATTAACATGAAACCGTAGAGCAAGAAAAAAAGGAAATGAAACACACACACCACTCCTCACTTTCGAGAGGTCAGGCCCTCTCCATAAAACTGATCCGCTCCCCCCCCCCACCCTCCTTACCTGCCGTCCCACTATGTACATCCTTTCCCCACTACTCTGACTTGTCAGAGAACATTATCTTGGTCCCCTTCCTATTCTACCCTTCTGTGTCTATTCCTTGTTAGGCTGTTTTGTTGGACTTCCTCTGGTACACTCGGCCCCACTCATTTGGAGGCCCATCATGCATCAATTTCAGCACCATTTTCCATATTATCCTTGGATTTTCATTGGGTTGGTAGGTGCTGTTTGTGGGTGTGTAGAGGAGGATTTAGGGCTGTTTGAGTCAGTTTCAGCATAGGTTGGGCTATCGAGGTCAGATTCAAGGATTCCAGGTACAGCTGTGGGTATGTCAAGAGCATGTTCAGATCTGTCGAGGATTGTTTCAGGTCTGTCAAGGCCTATTTCAAGTTTGTCAAAGCTTGTTTTAGGTCTACCAAGGTGTATATGCTTTGTTTGAGTGGTAGGAGTGGAAGTGGGACCTAAAGTTAGCCATTCTTTGGCTCCATGATTCTCCCCTTGAATGAGTTATTTGGGGTAATAGGAATCATCCTCCTCAGAGAAAATTGCACCTTTAGTAATAACAAAGACTGCCTTGGTAGAAGTACAATAACACTTATACCCCTTTTGAGTAGGGGAGTACCCAAAGGAAGATACACTTAATTGCTCTTGAATGAAGCTTGACATCATCATTTTCATGTATATTTACAAATCCAAATACCTTCAAGGGCATATTTGAGATCAATGGGGAATTGGGGTATGCTTCAAGTTCAAGTAGTTTTTGGATAGGAATTTGGTACTTAAGACCTTAATAGGCATTCTATTGATAATGCATGTTAATGTGAGAATAGCATGCCCCCAAAACAGATTTGGGACATTTCTAGCAACCATAATGGCTTGTGTGACTTCTGAGATGCCTATTTTTTCTCTCTGCTAACCCCATTATGTAGAGGCGTGTGAACACATGAAGTTTGATGATGAATCCTTAGCTGTTCCAAGAATTCCTTGCACGTTGCACATATGTACTCCCTTGCATTATCAACTCTTAACACTTTGTTTTGGAAACTGGTTTTTCTCAAATGTGTGAAAATTTTAAAATCTGCATAACTACTAACTTTTACTTCATCTAATATACCCAACTCACTGAAGTACGGTCATCAATGAATGTCAAAAACCATTTAGCATTACATATTGACTTAATTCGCGCTGGGCCTGGCCCCCCAAATACCACTATGTATTGAAGTAAAGGATGCAGCTGGTTTGTATGGTTGTTTGGATTGGAGGTTCTAGTTTATTTGGCAAGCTGGCAACTGTCATTTTCATTCAAGTTTTGTCTAAAGTATGTTCAAACTTTATCCCACTTGTCCTGAAGAGCATTTTAAGGTTTTTAAAAGGGTTCAAATTTCCCAATATTTTTAGGAAAACTTGCATTTCTTCTTTTAATTTAATGTAAATCTTCATTAAATTAGTATAAATAAGTAATGAAGTCCCAACTCTCCCGCTAACAAGAACTAATATGTTACCAGTGAGTATATATGATTAAGGGTGTACACATTCTCCAATGGGGATATTCAAGACTTTCCTCATAACTAGAAGCAATGTCCTATCAATGAGTAAATACTTACTTGAAAATAAGTTGCTATGCCTCTCAGGACATATTTGCTCTCCTCCTGGGAGTTCTTCATATGCAATATCAGTGACCAATTCACTTCGGATGGGAGCATAACCAGGATAAGGATCTAAATTAGGAATATACACAAGCAACAGTATTCCAAACAAAGCCTGGACCAAAAAATGATCATGTGTAAGTTTGGCTTCAGAAATTCTCAAACTACAAAATAGAAAAAAAATGAAAAATGAAAAAAGAAAAAGAATTCATGTCATAATGTCCAATTAAAGAACAGATATGCCCTTAAACATTCATGTCCAATCAAATCATCCAGTCCAATCAAATATGCCCTTAGTATTTTCGGTCTCCAATATAGGTAATGCTAGGAAATTGTGTGACCTATATTCTTTCACATGTAAAAGGCATTGCTTATAGATGGTGATAGTTTTAGTTTTACACCCTCAAAGTCTTTAAAAGTAACCTAAATTGAAGTGAACAAAACAGAATCAGCATATGGAAGAAGTATACATCAAAATTCAATTACGTTAAAGTCCTTCATCTTCTTCTCCCAATATGAATTGGCTTCCCCATCAACTTGAACATGGACAAGCTCAAGAAATCTCTATCAACTTTACCATGTCCATGGTCTGAGAAAATTACTTTAGCACTAAAGAGGCAAACTTACACACAAGGTCAAGCTTATCACACAAGTTTTACTGAATTTGTAATTGAGAAGACAGCTATTATTATGAAGAAAAAGGGAACACATGAATATTCAATTCAAAAAAAAAAAAAAAAAGACTGGTCGCATGATAAGACAGTTGGTGTATTTATACTTTGATCCACTGATACTCCACTTCTGTTACTTAACAGAAGTGGTTATTCCCACTTGTATCATTGATTGACAACTAATTAACAGATTATTAACTTCTCTTACATACAAGCACAGTTTTTACACGTAACAGCTATCTTGATTGTGTATGTGATAGAACCCTCTACTCTATTAAGCTTCAGAACAAGCAAAACCAGAAAACACACTTCAAATGGAACTAAAAAAAATACTATTGCTGAACAAATGGAACTGAAAAAAAATACCCCTGCTGAACAACAGAGTTGGATTACAAGCAAGATAAGGACTGAAACTACGATCAAATGACAATTACATAGTACAAGGAACAGCACATAATACACTCCACATTACAACAACACAATATAAATCACTCACAAACACACACTAAAAAGGAGAAAATGATGAAGAAAGATTATCTTCCTCCACCCCCAACTTGGCATTCGAGAGTCTAGAACTCTCCTCACCGCTCTCAATATTCACAATACTCCACACACTTCCCTCTACATGAAAGGACAGATTTAAAGAGCCAAAAAGTATCCTTACCCCTACCAGCATTACCTAAACCTTTGGCTACACCTAACCTGACTTGTCCTTTACCTTTTTAATCCTACAAATAAAAAGGCTTCGGATAAATCTCTTGACCACTAGTGTTTAGTCTTCTCTAAATCACTTCCCTTCCTAGATTGTCATAGGTCTTAGGAAATGACATCCAAATCAGTATGCAAACGACATCATTGTCCTGTGAGACAAAAAGGCTTTGGCAAACAAATTTTAAATAAAAGACCTGGGAAAACCAAAAAAAACATGGTGTGTCTGAAAAAAATCTAAATCATGGTTGTTAAACTTGCGAGTCATTGATTTATAATCATAACAAATATAAATGACGGGTAAAGACATTATGAAGTTAGTAAACAAAGATTAGTTAGATTGGTTAGTGACTATTAGTAGCTGTTAGTGGGGTAAGAGCCTAGCCTATAAATAGATGGGTTACGGACCAATTGTAATACACTATTGGTTAATGGAAATATGATTCCTGTTTTTCCTATATCTTTTGTCTCTCCTCTCTAGCTCTCGTCACCCTTTGAATCTCTCCTCTCCTCTGTTTTCTCTCTTTCCCTATCTTTCTCTCCCTTTCTCTCTCTCTCTCTCGCTATTAGAATTTGTGAGAGAGAGTCGACTGAAATGCTTCAATTGTATATATCCGAACATGAACATGCGATTTACAATATATACACAGTGCTAGGCTAATCTAATCCCTGATTTCTAGCCTATGACTAGGGAAGGAATAATCACCATTAACTCTAATGGTCAGAACCGAAGGAGAAGGGATAATAATAAAAACAAATCAAGCCTAATTACTATTTACACAATTAATGGGATTTCCACACTCCCCCTCAAGTTGGACTATATATGTCAATCATTTCCAACTTGCCTACAAACTTTTCAAACATCTCCTTGTTCAAGCCTTTGGTAAAGATATCTACGGTTTGATTCCGTGACGGCACATGTATGAGTGACACAAGGCCTCCCTCAATCTTTTCTTTGATAAAGTGTCTATCAACCTCAACATGCTTGGTTCTGTCATGATGAACTGGGTTATGTGAGATGTCTATAGCAGCTTTGCTATCAGTGTACAGCTTCATTGGAAGTTCTAACTCAATCCTTAGCTCTTCTAATACCCGTTTTACCCATATCTCTTCACATATACCATGAGCTACTGCTCGAAATTCAGCTTCCGCACTACTCCTTGCAACAACATTTTGCTTCTTACTCCTCCATGTCACAAGATTTCCCCACACATATGTGCAATATCCTGATGTTGATCTTCTATCATTATGGGCGCCTGCCCAGTCTGCATCTGTAAATATCTCTACATTTTTCTTCTCTGTCTTTTGATATAATATTCCCTTCCAGGTGTGCCTTTCAAGTATCGTACAATCTTGTAGACTGCCTTTAGATGTTTCTCTTTAGGAGTATGAGAATGTTGGCTTGCTACACTTACTGCAAATGCAATATCTGGTCTAGTATGGGAAAGATAGACAAGTTTCCCAACTAATCTTTGGTATCTTCCTTTGTCAACATCTTTCCCTTCATTTTCTTCTTCCTCTTCATCATCTTCTTCTTCTTCTTCTTCTTCTTCTCTGTCATCTTTTTTTATCTTCTTCCTTTTTGATGTTACTTCAATGGGTGTCGTACTAGGTTTGCACCCTAACATTCCTGTCTCTTTTAGCAGATCGAGAATGTATTTTCTCTAGGATATATAAATCCCTTTTTTAGATCGCGCTACTTCCATTCCCAAAAAATATTTCATTTCCCCTAAGTCTTTGACTTGGAAGGATTTGGCCAATGCCTTTTTAATCTTTTCCATCTCTTTATGGTCATCCCCTGTGAGGATGATGTCATCCACATATACGCTCAGAATAGTTTTCTTTCCTTCCCTGTGCTTGAAGAACAATGTATGATCACTCTGCCCTTGAGTGAAACCTTCCTTTCTTAGAACTTGTGTGAACCTTTCGAACCATGCACGAGGTGACTGTTTTAATCTATATAAGGATTTTCTTAATTTACAGACTAGGTTCCTTCTCTGGGCACGGAATCCAGGTGGTGGCGTCATGTACACTTCTTCCTTTAAGTCTCCATTTAGGAATGCATTCTTTACATCTAACTGATACAATGGCCAATCAAGGTTTGCAGCCAGGGACATAAGAATTCTTACTGTGTTGAGCTTAGCAACTGGTGCAAATGTCTCTGTATAATCAGTTCCATAGATTTAGGAAAAACCTTTTGCCACAAGACGAGCCTTGAACTTTTCTACAGTACCATCTACTTTGTACTTCACTGTGAATACCCATTTGCAACCTACAGCTTTCTTTCCTTGCGGTATCTCAACCTCTTCCCATGTACCATTTAGCTTGAGAGCATTCATTTCTTCCATGACAGCGTTTTTCCAATCTGGGGACTGTAGTGCTTCTTCAATGCATGTTGGGATTGTAATGCTATCCAGATTGGTAGTGAAGGCTTGAAATTGAGGTGAGAGAGCTTTATAAGAGACAAACTTGTCTATTGGGTGTTTAGTGCAGCATCTGGGTTTCTTCCGAAGTGCAATGGGAAGATCCAAATCTTCTTCTACTCCCCCTGGCTGATCACAGTCAGTAATATCTTCTTGAGGTTCAGGATTTGTCATTGGTTCAGAATCATGGTCAGCTTCGAGAACTTGGGTCTGGTTCCTTGATGTTTTCCTCCGAACATAAAACCGATCATAGAATTTATCAGTGTTTGTTCTCTCCCCCTTATTAGGATCCCCCTCGGTGGTAGGTACATTATCTAGTTCAGGTTCAATTGTTGACGCACCAACTTCAAACGGAAGTTCTAATGGAGGTTCATACTCATAGGGTAATTCTAATTCAAGTGGGAAAGAGGGTTCTAAGGAAGACTCCAAGTCACTCACACTCTCCCCCTGAGTTGGAGATTTCGAATAAAAGGATTCATCTTCATGGAAGGTGACATCACAGCTAACAAAGAATTTCTGTGTAAGAGGATCATAACACTTGTACCCTTTTTGGGAAGCAGAATATCCAAGAAAAATACATTTAACGGCACGGGGGTCAAGTTTACTATTGTGATGAATGTGAACAAAGACAGTGCACCCAAAAACTCGCAGTGGAAGGTTATTTTCAAGGTGAGGAATAAGATGGGTGATGTGAAGAACCTCAAGTGGGGTTTTAAAAGATAGGATTCGGCTAGGCATTCGATTAATGAGATGGGTGGCGGTAAGCATGGCATCACCCCAATAAAACTTGGGTACATTATGAGTAAGAAGTAGGGCTCTAGCAACCTCTAAAATGTGCCGGTTTTTTCTTTCAGCTATGCCATTCTGTTGGGGGCTATAAGCACAAGTGCTTTTATGAACAATTCCATGGTGTTGTAAGAAATTGCCTAAAGAGTTATTGATAAACTCAGTACCGTTATCAGTATGTAGGATTTTAATAAAGGTGTGAAACTGGGTTTGAATCATTTTGTAAAAGTTGATGAATACAGGGACAACATCAATTTTGTCTTTAAGGAGAAAGGTCCAGCAAACACGGGTGTGATCATCGATAAATGTTATAAACCATTTTTTATGTGTTCTGTTCGTAGTCCGGCTAGGTCCCCAAAGGTCACTGTGAATAGTGGTGAACGGTTGGGAAGGTTGGTAAATATTGCGAGAAAAAGTGGTTCTATGGTGCTTTGCAAGTTCACAAACATCACAATAAAACTTGGAGACATTTTTATTAGAAGTAAGAGAGGGGAACATTTGACTCAAATACTGAAAATTGGGATGAC